TCTCTACTCTAAGCCTAATTACTGTTTATTTCTCAGTTAACATGATTTTTGTCTAAAAAATTAAATCAATAAAATTTAAACATTTTCTATAAATTTGATGCCATAACAAAATAGTTTCTTAGAATGAGTCCATAATTGCCCGACAGCAAATTTTTCTCGTCCATCTTGCTTTCTCTCTCAAACTGAATTCTTTACCATCAACCAATTAAGTTTCTTAAACTCTATTTTTATTGAATTACCAAAGTAATGTTTTCAATGCCTAATTTCATACATATTATATTTCTGTATAATATATAGAATATATTTACATATATGTGGATTAAATACTACAGGTGTGAAGAAATGATTACATAAGAAAATAAATTTTATTTCAATAAAATAATAAAAGAAGATTCATGAGTAATAAATAAATATATATGAGATTTACAAATAACTTGTATATATGTATAAATAATTTGTTATATATTTATTATAACACAATATTTAGTAACTGTTTATGAGCACAAAATGTAATATGTAAATAATTTTATGTATACAACATACAAAATGCATTGGAAACTCTATATTTCTTAAATTTCCAATATTCCTTTAAAATTGTTAAACCACCATTGTATCATATACAAAACTGTCTTTAATGAGTGTTAATTTATTCATTAATTTCATACATTCAATAAATTTAAAAAAATTTGATCATGCTTTTGTCAATGTAATTTAATCTTCAGTTTCTTTATGTAACGCATCTATCAACTGCCTGCTTATTATTTTTAGGCTTTATGATGATTATTTCTACAATCCAAGCAATTAATACCGAAATCATTAGAACAGTTTGGCAATGGATAAATATAGGGTAGCTATTAGTAACATCTCGAATATATCCTGAAAAACAACATAAAAAAACTATTAATAATATGTCATTATTCACAATTTTTTCTATCATTTTATTCTAACTGAAAAAATCTGCTTGATTAGATTTTTTTAAATCTCTCTCTCTCTCTCTCTCTCTCTATATATATATATATATATATATATATATACATTTTTTATTTTATTTTTTTTAAATTGCATAAACTGATTAAAGCTTTAATGACGCGATCACGAGGAAATAAAATCTAGATTCACTATATAATATAAACAGGAACCTAATTTCACTTTAAATTTTATGTACTCATCCATTGTTCTCTGATAAAACGTTTATTAAATACAATGAAGTATATTATTTTGATAATATGTACAATAGTTAACCAAAGGACTATATTTTATTTAAAAAATAATAAAAGTTTATAATTTTTTTTCTCGGCTCCTATGGCGCATTGGCAAGAACTCTCCGATAAGGGTTTAATATTTTTCGACCTGATATCACCAAAAAAAGTTTCTTTGAAATCAGTGACTCTCAGTCTGTAATCTCCCCTGTCAGAGGAAGAGAGGTTGGTTGGAATTTCCTTCCGACATCCGATCCCCCCTTCATTTGAAAACTTTGCCCTTCCTTTTGTAGAGCTATGTTTCCTTATAAAAAAGATCAGAAATCATTAAAAATCAGAAGGCTACAAACTTTATAATGTTATATTCTACATTTTTAAATTTGTTACAATTGTTGATTTATGTTATTACTAGATACCGGATTTCCATATTTTTGCACTTTTTATTCGTTTGCATGTCAAAACTTGGGACCCGGACATCTATCCGTTTCAGAACCTGTTGAATATATTTAGTTGAATATATCAATATTTAATTTTTATATTGAACAAAATTGCATGTTTTGCCGTTTTTGCCTTAAATTGCACGATTTTGATTTTTGTTGAATTAAATTGCACAATTTTGCACTTTTGTGCTAAACTAGACGATTTATAAATACAAATGTATAAGTAAATGTGTTAATATTTATTTTACTATATTGTTCAAATTAAATTCATTAATCAAAATAGAAAAATATGAGGAAGGCAAATAATTCTGTGTGAAATCGTATTGATTACAAAAGGAAGAAGTAAACACAAGTGAGATCTATTCTTGGAACAGAACTTGCCTAAAGTATTTTATAATAAAAAGCTGCTTTGTTAGTAAGAAATTCATAATATTCATTCATATTCACCTTTCAACCATTCAGTGTCCCTTCTGTCTTCGAATTGCTTTGTAGAAATCTCATACTTATAAAAAAAAAATTATATTTCTTAAAGTAAAATCTAATCTCCCGTCAAAAATTAAAATATGGATATAAAAATACCCCAATTTGAAATGTGAGGAGAAAGAATTTGATGAGAAAGTCCTATATACCTTATCAATCAATCAATCAATGCTCTGCATTATTTTATAATAATCATTATTGTAATAATTGATTATTATCTAGAATTTCATTTTAAATGTTACATTTCAATTTTTTTTTTAACTCTCGGTTAGCTCAAGATCTGATAAGATTTCGATGTATTAATTTCCATTGTAAAATTTACTAAAATGAAATAACAAGATTTTGATTCTCCGCCTTAGATAGGTCAAAATTTGTCATACTAATTGTAAGTAGATAATATTGAGATTTCACAAGAGAAAAATTCAACAAATTATTCAATAATTTAATTTCTTAAAAGGTTACATGACAGTTTTTCGTAATAACCAGACGTTGATACCTAATTGTTTAAATATAATATCGGATATTATTAAACTACAGTGAATGTATTTAAGGTTATAAACATATGCTTTATATATCCATGAAATATTTTTATATTTCACTCCTTTCATAGTTTTTAAACAATGTCATTGCCTTCATCAGGTGGATTTTAAATACTTTTTTCAAACTTAAAAAAAAAATTAATGTTTACAATTAGTTAGTATATTCCATTTAATTTCCTTGAAAACATGTGATATCTGTTAAATAAAATCAGTTTTCACAAATTATTATTATTTTTCGTCACTCTCTATTCCCTTCTACAATTTTCTATATCAGATATTTTTTTTTTTAAATTCCCAGCTTTCTAAAGATAAATTACACCTACTGACTATTTTTTCCAGAGATTCATTTTGGACCTAAGTAAACAGTTTTCCTCTTTTCCTTTTATTTCAATTATCAAATTCTTTCATAAGTTATATTTACCATTTTTTGGTAACTCCTAACAATGAGAGGTAGTTAATTATTTAAAAGAAGAAATGTTGAACATTGGGTATTTAAGCCCTGTAAAGTGACATCAATGGAAATAATACCTAAATTATATTGAAGACCAATTAATTATACAATGATACACCATGATTATTCAAAATCATTAGAGCCGTTCTCGAGATAATCATAAACATGTGTGAAATCAATTCTATAAACTGTCAATTCCTGAAAGCCGATTTTGACTAAAAAAGTTGCTGTAACAACCAAGACATATATATACAAACCTTAAATATGCAATTTTACTTTCATACAACATATAATTTTTAAACTAGACTGACAACTTACACACACACAGACCATTTGCTGGACTTGGTTATTTGGACTCAGAAGACCTCATAATTTTTCCATTGAAAAGTCGGATTCAAAATTATCACGATCGCAATATCTTCTCTTACTATATATTACATATATATAGATAAGTGAAAGTAAAAATTAATGTACATGCTGAAATAGTGTTCAACCAATAAAAAGATGTGCATAATGATTATTTATGAACATAAAATAAAGCTCTGTGTTTACATCACTTGTATAATCAATAGCTTAAGTCAATAAGTGAAAAGTTAACAGAACATTAAAATTTCTTCATATGACTTGACTTATTACATTAATTACTTTTAATGATCAACGTATAGATAATACATATAATATTCTGTTATATCTGGGTTTTTTATAAATGTAATTTTTTGACAGTACATAAATTGAATAAAAAAGTACTTTATGTTTTCATATCACCTAATATTCTACCATCATCCTTTTGGGAAAACCTGTCCAATCTATTTTTTTAAAGGAAAGGTCAAAAGTTTACAACCTCATCCCGGTTTATATTAATTTGGAAATTTAATTGAAAATTTTCAAATTATGTTTATAAAAATGAAATAAAGTAAAAATAAATATTTTACAAAATAACATTGGCAATAACACTGATAATAATTAAGTCTTTAAAATATAATATTTTTAAACTATACCATAAAGAAAAAGAAAAATAACAAAAAGATATAGCAACAATTTTAGGTACTCACCACACAGAGGTCCAAAGATTGCAATGAAAATTCCTCTACCCACCATTGACAAACCAAGAACAGAAGGAAAATTATTGCCAGATGAATATTCTGCCAAAACAAGTGGAAATGATGTAATAGATATTCCACGGAAGAAACCAATAATCACTGATGTAGTTATGATTCCTCCAATCGTTCTCTGTAAAGTTAAACCTTGAAAAAAAAAAATGTTTACAGCATCGATAATAAACAAGGCAATTATAATGGAATGGAGGGGCGGGCTTTGGGGCTGAAGGCTCCCCCTCCTCCCCAAATGGTAAAATATAACTATGTTTTATGGAAAAAATATAAAAAAATGATCTCTTAAAGTATTATTGTTCGTGTAATTACATTTAAAAGGTTGTTAGTTCCATTCTTTTTTTCCAATTTTTTATGGGGAAAAAAGCTTTCAGGCTGAAGCTCTCCCCCCCCAAAAAAAAAAAATTAAATCCTTGATCTACTAGTTCGAATATATTAGTATCATAATAGTAAAAATACATGTATGTGAGTACATATTGATAGAAGATACATAGTTTTTTTTCTATTTCTAATAACAAGGCCTGCCTGTGACCTTCTTATTCTCCTTTCAGTATGTATTTTATAATTATGTTTATGCTTTAGTTGTGAATTTTATATTAAATTAATTATTAATTAATTGGATTGATTACTACAAAATACTTACAAGACCGGCCTAAGGCTACACAAATAGAGCCAAACAAAAAAGTGACCCGGTTTGAGACTGCCACCCTATCCATAATTGGAGGTACAATTAAGCGAGAACTTATGTCTGATATAGCCATGATGACAATACAGATGCAGTTTCATAATGTGTCAAGCCAAGATCAGATAAAAAGAAAGGTAAAATTAGTCTGAAATTCATTTCAACCACAACTAGCATTGATAGCCCATACAGAGTATTCAAATATACCTTTTAAAACAAACAAAATATCATTTAAGCACAATTAATAACATATTAAAAACATATTTTTAAGTACAAATTTTTACAACAATAAAATCAATCAGTTATTGAAAACTTACACCATCTCTTAGAAGATCAAGATCCATGAATTTGAAAAACCTTAACAACCCACTTTTTAATGATTTCATTGTTTTTTTGGATCTGTTTTTTGGGTTGTTTTTGTGTGTTTCTTCCCTATTTAAATTATCGGTTATTTTTTCTGATTCTTTATCACATTCTTCATCAGTAATTTCCTGATAATATAAATCTTAAGTCAGTATTAAAACTACAAATTAAAAGTAAACTAGAGTAATTACTGGCACTATATTTATTATTTATTTATTTCTAACAATGGGGTGCTCTTCAACATCTTATGGGTTATTTTAGTCTTTACATAGTATTTATATTACAAAAGATAAAATTTAACAATAAATTTGAAAGTTGAAAATACTTAAAACACTGGTAATATAATTTATTATGAACCTATTCAAGTTAAATAAGCACAAACATGGATGTTAAATATATTTTCTCCTTCATCTAAGCGCTGAGGTACAAATTCCTTTCTTGGAAAAGCTTGCAGTGGAATATTCAACAAAATCTTTCTCTCCTGTGAATTTGGACTACTCTCATCACTTCGCACTTGATCTGAAAAGTTGTAAGTACAAATAGTAGGAACCAATAAGTCATTAACAAACAAAGGAAAATTCTAAATGTTGGCATTATAGGACTTCAATGGAAGTCTTGGACCAACAAGAAAAAAAAAAAAAATCTAAATGCTGTTCAATGTCATTTAAAATGTTCTTTTTCAATGTTACATTAAAGCGTAATAACAATTACACTTATAAATGTTAAAATATAAGTGTCTTAATTCACAGACTCCAAGTTACTCAATCTGTCACTTTCCAAAAAAATTTATTGAACAGTATATACAAATATATAGCATATAAAAAAATAATTATTAAGAGATATTTTTCTTTTTAAACTTGGATAAATTAAAATAATTAATATTTATGACATTAACTAAATAATATCGTAGCATCAAAATGCCATATTTAATTTATTAATAAAACATTTTCACAAAGCGTTTATTTCATTGCATTATTATAAATAACATTTCAGCTCCTTATTGATATTATTATTTGCCCATTGGTCGAAATTTTACCATAGACATTATTGAAAATTTGAAAAAAGCATAAATGAATTTGTTTTTAAATTTTTTTTTCTACTTCTTTACATCTGTACATACACTTTATATGCAATCACAACACAAAATAGTTTAGTACTTTTTGAGCTATTCGCAAATAAAATTCTAAATCAATCATTACTTTTTTTCAGCCTCTTTTTTATAAGGTATGTTATTTACTGATGTATACTAAACGGTATTGAATTATTCTTCGGCTAAGTTTCATTAAATTTTTACAGCCCTCTTGGTGCTATAGACTAAAGCGACACACGTTCTTCAGCCGCCATTTCGTAACGAAAGGTTGAATGGTCATGAAATGTATGTCAAACACTCCTGCATTTGATTGCAAAGTTGATCAAAATTTCAAAGAAATTTGTAAAAACGTTCGGATATTGGCCGCTTTTAACAAACTAACATTTACATTTTATTTATAAACAGTGCTTCCAATATTTTTTTGATAATGCTAAAACTCATCAATAGCTACCAAACAAAAAAAGAAATAGAAAATCGGTTGAAAAAAAAATACTGAACTATTTTGTCTTTGCCGATTTATTTAACGATGCTTAGATTTCATGTAATTTTCAGAGACTGGCAGCTGAGTAAAATAGATGAGTGAAATAGATGGTCCAATATAAATTTCAATGAAAGTCGTTTATCATATGTTTTTACTTGTGGCACTTATCAATGTAAATCTTTATGAAAAAAGAAATTATGTTATTTTGTCTTTGCCTATTTATAAAATGGTACTTATTCTATTTTTAGATTTTAGAAAGGTGTTTGAGTCCGTCAATCATGAGCTTCTTTGAAAAAAGTTGTTTGACTGTTATATGCGGTAACATTGTGAGATTAATTAAGATTCTTTATGACATAGCTAAAATGCAAATAAAAATCAGATATGGTGTCAGAAGAAATTAAAATTTTTTGTTATCTATTACAAGGTGAAACTTTGAGCCCAATTATTTTCATCATATTTCTTTCAGACATAAGATGTTATTTTGAATCCTACAGTGCAACAGGCATACCAATAGCTAGTGGGAATGAAGTTATAATGCTACTGCAATGAAGTTATAATGCAAATGATTTTATTATATTAAGCAATTCGTGGTATGGCACCACGAAAAAATATCAGATGTTAGAAAGCTATCTTGCCCAAATTTCACTGCCCGAATTGATTTTAAAGCCCGAAAAATCAAAAGTGCTTTTATGTCACAAATCACAGAATATGAGAAAATCGAGGCAACTCTATTGGCAAAATAAACTTCTAAATTCAATGAAATGCTATCATTACCTTGCTAGGCCATTTTCAATAAGAGGAAAATTATCCAAGGCAGCTGCTTTACTCAAAGGTTGAAAGTTGCAAGAGCAAAGGGAGGAGAGATTTTAATAAAAGGGAAGAATGATGCGTGGGAAACGAAAATGTCTCGGCTCGCAGGCGCACACGATAGCTTAGCCCCGGTATAAACCCATATAAAAACACCTTGTTAAATCATGGCGGAAGCCGAAAGTCAAGAGGTATAAGGAAAAAACTAAAAACACATTGGCAGATTTGGTAGGCTATGTTTCTTTAATAGATCTCAATCCTATATCCAGATACTGAGCGATTTACCAATATTGTTGATATAACTGATAAAAACGAAAGGATAAAGTCCTAGAACTTAATAACATTCCTGTAACGAAGTTAATTGTTTAGCTAAATCATTTATAAACCTTAGATAGTTTAACAAGCCTTACTTTTGGTGTCTGTGGTGACTGAACTATCCTTTTTATCAGATGGTAAGAGACTGTGAACGTCTTCTTCTTCTACTTCCTAGGAAAAAAAATTATTGTTTCTAAAGCTGAACTAATTACAGAGTTGAAAATCATGATTCAAATGATCTATATTTAATTTGAAATGAATAAATCCATATTTTATGTCATAAGCAAGTATATTATACATTATTTTTACACCCTTAATCCTTCTTTTCCATTACTTAGTAGTATTTTTTTTTCTTTATCGTAAAAACCTTACAAACGGAAGAGGAGCATTGTGCATCCTTCAGAAAAAGACTTAGAAGACAGTTCTTCCTATCTTTCACCAGTTTTCATCCATATTGTGACACAGTGTTACTGGTACTAGTATTGGTGGAGAAGAACTATTCCACCAAGAAGAGCGTATGGTTCTTTTTAGCTAGCCACCTCTAGGTTGTCTTTACTACGCATAAAAAAAATTATTGTTTCTAAAGCTGAACTAATTACAGAGTTGAAAATCATGATTCAAATGATCTGTATTTAATTCGAAATGAATAAATCCATATTTTATGTCATAAGCAACTATATTACTTTTACATCCTTAATCGTTTTTTTTTTAAATTACTTAATGTTATTATTTCATTACTGTTTCTTTTCATCCATCACACGTAGGTATGGTAGTAACGATGTAGATATCACCGGCGGCTGAAGCCTCCTCCTCCCAAAATGGTAAAATATAACAATGTCTTATGAAAAATATATTAAATCTAAAATATTATTGTTTGTATAATTATATTTAATAGGACTTCAACAATTGCTTAAATATCATTTGGTATAGGTAGTTAGTTTTATTTCTTTTTCTTTTAAAGTAATTATCGTTAAAAAAAAAATCGGGATGAAACTCCTCCCAAAAAATAAAATCCTAGATCTGCAATTGATAGATACTGGTACTTCTCTTTAGCTTAGCACTCAGTTGGTGATTACATGTTCAGTATTTTCCGGAGCACCACAACAGTACTCTGGTTTGACCCATCTGGCATGTAGTCGAGACTGGACGAAGAATATGCTTCTTAATGGTAATGTCTGTTCCATTCCTCAACGGTGGCTTCTCTTAATGCAGTTTTCCATCTATTAGGATGTTCCTTATTCCTCATTTGAAGATCCTTCGGAATTCCCTTCGAGTCTATCGTCTTGTCGGTGTATTTGTTCAAATCTTCTTTCGGGAGAAGACAGAAAGATATCTGTCGCGATCCGCAGTAGAGCCATCCTCTGGTAGGACGCCAACTTATTTTTCTTTCGGTTCGGCAGGATCAGGTACCGCAAGAGAGAAACATACCTAAATATACCCATCACCTCTCCTCCATAATTTTCTATCTCTTATTTATCGCTGTATCTAAGATCTCAAATGGCCCAATCAATACAACAGAGACCAGTTAGGGTGATTGTCACCCTGCTTACCATGTGATTCAAGTGAGTTAAAATTTCTTCCAAATGTTATGCCAAGATAGGTTACCACCTCTCTGGGCACCATTCTGACCATCGCCCATTAATGGTTCGCTCAATCTCGTCTAAACTACTTCTAATCCTCACATGTCTGACATAGAGATAGGTTCTCAGAAGGGCTTATAGGTTGTTGGGGGCATCATATCTCTGATGTAAATATGACTGCATTATTTTTTTAAAAAAAGTTTTAAAAATGTTGCAGGCAATAATAATTAAAATAATTTTTTAATGAAATTAGAGGTTTTGATGTTTTCTATAATCTTTGATAACATGGAAAATGTGACTTTTGTATTTAGACCGTTATTGTTGCAGCAATGAAATAGTCCAATAAATAAAAATAAAAAATGTTTTTTAAATTTAACACCCTTCATTAGATAACTGAAAAGTCGATTTCAGAAATCAAAAATGATAATAAATGGTCCTTCTAGTTCTGAGTGTAATTTTTCATGTGAGACGAAATCAAATCATCATTATTTGCGATTCAATTCCATATAATACGAAAAAAAAATGTGCATATTGTAAAAAATAAACGAAAGAGATTTAACAAAATAAAGAAAAATTGTACTTTATAGGATACCAGCTAAGTTTATTAAAATTATATCTTATTTTATAAATGTACTAGCTTTACGCGCTGCTGTGGTTTAGTCTGGCAAAATGAAAAAGAAAGAAATTAGAAAGCACATCTGAGTAGATTTGTAGCAAAGGACATCTGTCATTTTTTAAAAGTTGGGAAACAAATTTGTCTGTAAAATGGCTTCAATTTAAATGATTCAAATTGAACATTCATAATCATATGAGTGAATACACCGTCATTCATAATCATCAGAAACAGTCTGAGTTGAACTTATAAAACTAAATAAAAAAATTAATAAAAAAAAACGTATAATAGTATTGACCTACATAAGGAGAATCATATAAATTTTCAAATGATAATTTCAATTACTGTAGTAATTATAAAATATTCGATTATTCAATAAAAAAAATAATAATAAAAAAAATGCTTGCCGATGATCAGGTAGTGAGGAAGCAAAAGGAAACGGCCTTTTCTGAAGAGAAAGCAGTAAATGTTTAAAACTCAATAACTCTGCAACGAACCGTCCGATTTCGATGATTATTTTTTATTTTGTCTGCGATTTTGAAATCTTTCAAATAAATGTGGGTATTATCAGTCAAAAATTGTGTACTTTTTTAGTTATCGTCAAATAAAATATTGAATTCATCGTAACATTTTTCAGCTTGTTTTCGGGAAAGCATGTTATACACATAAATTAAAAAGGCTTCAAGGGGAAGACTTTAGCTAAGTTTCGTTAAAATCGGTAAAGCCGTTTTGGCGCTACAGTTTATAGCGATACATGTTTTGCGGCTTTAAAAAGAAAAACATTTACATTTTTATTTTTTTTACGTTTATAAAATTATCGTAAGAAAGAAGTACTATGCCAGAAACCTTCCCCGGAGTGTACAGAACAACTTCCCTAAGTTTCATGGCGATCGGTTGAATGGTTTAATGCACTAAGGACAATAAGACGGACGGACAGACATACATTCATTTTACATATATAGATAAGAGATATTTTAACATACAATTGTAAAATTAATTTATAAAACTGGTGGTAGAAGAAAACTTACTACAATAACTGCTTTCTTGTGCCAAGAAACAGGTTGAAATAAACAAGCTCCTACCACAGCATGAAGAGATAGTGCGCCTATTATGAGAAGTGCAGAACGAAAACCATATTCATCCAGCAAGAACCTAAACATATAAGAACTCACAAACTCAAAGGTATATAGTCAATGTGCTCAATATTTTCAATACTACTTTTTTATTTGAAAATATATTGGAACCTCGCGAACTTCGTTGAAGTTAAAATTCAATTGAACTTTAAATATTATTATAGACAGTGTAGGTTCTGTTAGGATTGATATAATCAAAAAAGAAAGGCGGGCATGTAGTTAGATGCCTTATGAAAATAATTTTAATGTATATTTCTGAACAATTATTTTTTGAAAATATTGATTATTAAATAGTTTTTGTTTCTAAGTTGATATGCTATTTCAATGTTTTTCGGAACTGTAATCGGGATTTACCGCTCATCGTAACTTTCTAGATTTTGATTAATTCCAAATAGCAAGAATATACTTGTCCAATTGTTCTACATTTTAATCGTATCTACATTAAATTGTATTTTTTTACCTGACAATCTGAGGTATCAACATAAATCCAACAGCAGTGCCAGCCATCGAAAGACCAACCGCCTGGCATTTCTTTTTGGAGAAGTATTTATTGATACCTACCAGGGTGGATGAATTAGCAAGGCCGAATCCGACACCTAGAAACAGTTTATAATTTAAAAATCAAAATTTTTAATTTGGGAGCACCAACCTCATGAGGCGCCCGCCTCTATTTGGAATCATAAACAAATACAAAGTATATTGATATGGAGGTAGTTTTTTCTTTTTTTTTGTTTTTTCATTATCTTATGCCTTGATCGTCTTGAGCTCTTTCGGCCATGCGACATCTAGTAGCCCAATAAATTTCACCTTCTGTCCTGGCTTTGCTTCTAATGTCCTGTAGTCCGGAACAAGTCCGTAGATACAGAGCAGTCACGAATCCTTGTCGACACAGTGGACATATTGCTGAATCGACAGCTGCAATACGGATTAGATGGCTTTGGAGATAGTCATGTCCGGTTTTCATAGGTTAGTTATTAAATATATCCCATAGAATATGATCATTTACATTCTCGATCGATGGTATGAGTATCATTGTTCTGTATTGTAGTACTTTCCTCTTTAAATTCATCTTAAATGTGACTGTTTATTTTTAAATTTCAGTTGATGCAAAGATATTCTTAATCAAATTTATTGGATTTAATATTATTTACTAATATGAACAAAGTTTTTAATATTAGTATGATATAATCAATATTATCAAGAGTAATACAGAATATAGTTAATTATTTAAAAACAGGTATGGTGCGATGGGGCCACTATATTGCTAGCATGAAAGGATAGATGTTGCATGGGAAGATGCTGGACATGGTAATCATTGAAAAATAGAAGAAAAGAGGTAGATCGGGGAGCCGCTGGTAGGATGAGGTAGAAACATATGCCTTATACAGAAGGGTGTCATGAATTGGAAGAACGCCGCCGACGTGGATCGTGACAGATGTAAGAATTAGGTCCGGAAGAACAAGGGGTCACAAAGATCTGCATAGCCAGGAAGTAAATAAGCAATTAATTAAGTTTATTAATAATGTTAATTTTATACAGAAAAGTAATATTTTTTTTGTAAGATACTTTTAGTATTGATATCATTCCACATATATATAGATCGCCATTTGACCAGTAATCTTAGAATGGTCCCAAGAGGCGAAATCAAAGAGAGAATTAATCCTTTCTGTAATTCCTCACCAGTTAAGAGGATTGTGTTAGGTCTAATCTTGCGGAGTTAGGTTTGGCCGCTATTCGGAGGTTGGAGCTGTGTAGACAGGAATTGGTGATATCAGCATTAAACATTGGATTCTGAACCTTTCATTATCATTATTACCAATCCATCGTCTGTACAATGACGTAGCTGATGAAAATGAAGATGATGCGTCGGAAGCACATTTTGACAATCACGGGCTTGAGCGAAGATCATCAGATGACCTGTAGCGAGAATAAATAAATCTAGATGAATCAATTTCAGAAGAAAAAACATACTTTTGTCCAGAAGGACGAGGAATTGCTACAGGGAGGCTGTACTATCTTGAGAAAAACCGATAAACTCATGTATCCATTATACATTATTAGGCCCAACATCAACTTCATCAACAAGAACAACAGGTAATAGCGCAACAACAGGAGTTAATTTGTACATAAGGGGAATAAATATAAATAATGTTTATCTGCACTTTGACAAGACTAGACTAGATCCTTAGGATGTTCGTGGACACAGGATGATCTATCAGAAAAATGCATAATGCCTTTAAATTGCGTAGTCAAAAACATTAGCAAAGATTTTGATTATCAATACCTCCAAGTACTCCGTACGTAATGAGGATGTGCAGCAAACTGTTTGCTGGAGCGGTCATTAGAAAGGCAGCAGTACTTAACACAGCTCCTAAAATAGCTACTTTCCTGTAGGAATACTTCTTTGTTAGAGGTCCGACAAAAAGCCCTGAAATGAAAATGAAATCACTTTTATTATCATGTAATAATAAATTCTCAGACAAAATCGATGCATCAATTACAAGTTATTTATAGTTTTCTAAAGTGGAACTGAAAGGTTATTAAAATCTGAGTTTAGGTAAATATAATCCAATCTGAATATGAATAATCCCTGCTAAAGTCTCAAGCGTAGAGATAACCTACTATAATAGACCTAAATTAATATATTATTATCAATAGGGAACAGGCAGAAAATGAGGTTAGCACTGTCTCGTACGCTTTTGGTGATATCATATAGAATATCTCGTCATTGAAATTGATTGGTACCCACATAATTTTAACATTAGCTTTATTTCTATAAAAAGAAATTCTTATTGGGCATTAAGGAGGTTTAATCCTTGATTGCTTTCTGTAAATTAAATAATTATAGTCAGTGAAACTTTGAAATATTGCTTCAAGATCTCGTAATTAATTCTTATTAACTTTAATTTTAATTTGCAAAAAAATCCAAGAAAATATATTAATTCTTTCGTGAAACCAATCGAATGAATTTTTAAAATCATTTAAACTGCGGTATTCGTGTATTTGTGTTCGATTATTTTATTATTCGTTTCGAACTTTAATTTATCAAAATAGAGGGAAAGGGGAAGAGAAAGTTGAAACTCCTAGAAGATACTTCTTTAATTCCAAATAAATAAGCAAATTTTCAAGTTTCAATTTAGAAAAATATTAACGTGTTTAAACATTAAAAAAAAAAAAAAAGGGAGGAGGAAGGAAATTGATACATTTTATAATTCACTGATCCAACACCAATTCAATTAATTTACAAATTTCCATTTCTCTTCCTCTCTATTTCTCAACTAATTTTGGAGGGCCATTAAAAGTGATAAAAAATTTAAAAACAGCGAAAAATGAACACCGTTGACAAAATTTAATTTGACTGAAATTTACTCAAACTACACAAAATATATTGTACAAAAATATGAGGTAGTTAAATGTCATGAGACGGAACATGCCAGCACTTAACATTAAAAAAATTTGGTGCACGCAACGCACAACTTTTAGTTAACGCTCAGCTTTTTAATAGGAATTATTTTCTGGCCATGTTGGGCTATTATAAAATTTCTGAATTGCATTTTTAACCGAGCTAAAGCTAAAAATTACAGACAATTACTATTAAAATAACAAAAGTCCTATTTATTATATCACCGGTTGATGATGGATTGTACGATCCGTTGATTATGGATTGTAAGACTATTGGTTATTAAACTGTTATTTTCCATTGCAGTGTTTACTAAAACGGAATTTAGAGATTTGCATTTTCTGTCATAGACAGGTCAAAAGTTGTCACACTAATTGTAAGTGGATACTATCGGAATATCACAAAAGGAAATTTCATTCAACTATTCACTAATTTAATTTTCGGTTACATGATGATTTTTCGGAATAAACGGACGATAGATACCTAAATATTTAAATATAATATCAGATCTAGAGTTATAAAACTACAGTAAATATGTTTAAAGTTATAAACGCATTCTTCATCCACACAAGTATAATGAAATGGTAGTGAATACTGTTGGAATATCACAAAAGAAAACTTGATCAAATTATTCACTAATTTAATTTCTTAAAGAGTTACATGACAATATTTCGGAATAAACGGACAATGATAGATATTATTGATAGATATATTAGATTTTTTCTAAAATTCTCCGCTTCCAACGATATATTATACGTATACCTTTTGACTAGTATTTCCGGAGATTTATTTTCGACATTGGAAAAGCATTTTTATTTTTTTCTCCTTTATCCAATTATCAAATTCTTTCAAAAGTTATATTTAGCATTTTTTTCGTAACTCTTAATAATGAGAGATAGTTAACTATTTAAAATATATCATATTACAGGTACTGTAGAGGAAGACCCATATGAACATTTGGTATTTAAGCCCTGTAATGTGATATCAACCGGGATAAGACCGCAATGATATTAAAGACCAATTAATTATACAATGATACACATCGTTAGAGCCTTTTTTGAGAAAATTTTAAAAATGTGTTTCACCGTTAATATAAAGTGGCACTTTCTGTTACCGATTTTAAGGAAATAGTTGGTTTCGTACGACTTTGCATTTTTGAACTAGTGCTCACTTACACACAGACACACAGGCCTTTTTTCGGGACTCAGGCTACCTCAAAACGTGTATTTCCGTTGAAAACTCTTTAAGGGAAAAGTTGCTGTCGCATCTAAGCCATATTCCTATCTTAAATACGTAATATCAGTTTCCTACGACTTTTCGTTTTTGAACTAGACTGCTAACATACACACTAACACACAGACCATTTTTCGGGACTTGGTTATTTGGATTCAGGGTACTCCAAAACGAGTATTTCCGTTGGGAACTCAGATTCAAAATTTTTTTCGATCGCAATACTTACCCTTACTATATATTACATATGTACGTAAGTGAAAGTAAAAGTAAAGTCAATTAGTATAGTTTCATTACTACTTTTGGTTAAATGATTATATATTTTTATACATAATTATGAATATATTCCACGGTCTATGATTTGTTAGTTTAGAATAAAATCTATGAGTGAAGCCGTTACAGTCATGCTAAGGCAGGCTATTACGAAAGAATTTAATATAATAACTAAAAAGCATAATTGCAAGGAAATTGCTTTAAAAAGATTTATATTAATATATTGTAAATAAAACATTACATTTCCTCATTTTTGTGTATAATTACAGTAATTATGTTGACTCATAATGAGGTCGAGGCCTCCGAAAGACAAAAGCTGAATCGCAAATTAGTTATATAACTAATAAAACGCAAAAAAAAAATTAAGTAAAAACTTGCAATGATTTGGTTTATAAATTACAAGGCATCAAAATGCCGAAATAAGTAAACACCAACAGATATGAGATCTTAGGGTAAAACAAGCCTTTGTATAGATCGGTTGATTTTTTTTTTCATATGAAAACAAAGGATCCTTTTGATAATTGCATAAAGATAATTATCATTGTATTAAAAGTGGTGTCAAGAATACCTGAAAAGTTGAAAATTCCATCCATTGTAGACATCACCAAAGATGCACCCGTTGTTTCGACACCGAGCTGTTTGAGGAGATCTCCGAAAAGCAATCCAAATGATGGTTCAATAGCATATGTTGAAACCTGAAGAAAAGGTGGGGTGAAAATTCTTAATTACATCATTTTTTATTATTATTTCTTTATTGAGTAATATGAAATTCCGTTCCAATATGCAAAACTGTTTTAGCGGGAAAGTATTCATTCCATATTTACGAAAAATATAAATACACAAAACAAACCAAAAGTAAGGTAATACTAATTATTAATAAAACCTATATACAATAAATGGGGAGCGTGGTAGCTCAGTGGTAGGGCACTGAGCTTCCAATGCAAAGGTCCCGAGTTCGAACCCCGGCTCATGACAGATAATTTATTTATCTGTTTCATTTACCGTGGAGCGACATTGGGTCAGGAGTGCCTCCTGGGGCACACCCAGCCTCTATAAAATGGGTACCCTTAATTAAATAATTAATTAAGGGGGAAAACCTGGCGGTTGAGTGTGATCTCGGTCAAATCATCTCCTTGCACAACCGTTGACCTAGAAACAGTGCTTTCCCTAAATAGTACTGAACCCCAGACCCTTCATGGGTTGTAGTGGTACAGGTTTTATATACAATAAATGCAAATAAAATAAACTCAAAGATAAGTACAGAAAATAACATATATGTTAGGTAAAATTAGACAAGGGAACTACCGCCTGTTCCTTCCTTCCACTATGGATGGGATAGCTGAGACCTGCGCTACGCCATCAGCCACGTCAAAGGTACTAAAGCCGCGTCTTTCTTTTTTTTTATTGATTAATTCACAATCGTCAGTACTCAGCGACAACCAGCTAATTTGTTTACAGTAATCAAGTACTATAAAATAGAAAAAAGGCTTGATCAGCATTGATTTATTGAGTTTGACCTTTTATTTATTTAATTTTTCTTTATAGTCAGCATCTTACAAATGGTTTTTCCTCCCATTAGACTGATATATCGGCTTCACGATCTTGTTTTATTTTGATTCATTGGGTTTCACTTGGAATATTATTTACATTGATAATAAGTGTGCCTATTATTCGCCAAGGAATCGACATAAGCACGGACTATATGGTGATCCCTTGAAGAATTATTTACACATTCATGAGCAATAAAAATAATATTCAATGTAGAAGAGGCCGATATATCTGTTTAAAAGGATGACCAGAAAATTCCCGATATTTCGGTCTTTAGGATATCTGTATATGCTGAACTCCTTAAAAAAAAAATCCGATATATCAGCAAATCGGCGTTATATATCGGCCGATACCCGTAATCGGCCAAAAGGCCGATATGCTGATAATAATATCGATATCGGTCGATAACTAGTATTTACATATTACAAAAGGACGCAGGGCCATTACCGTTTCAACCTCCGAGAAGGATTTTAGGGATGGTTATCTTAACATGTAATCTTATTAATAAATTCTAGATTGCTAGATAGGTACTATTTATAACAATAATAAAATAAGGAAATTTTCCATCAAGAATAATCGACGAGAACCAATAAATAATTTTCAAAATGTTACTCACGTTCATTATACTCGATCCTAAAACAATAAGCCATCCCCACCCGCCATCTGGAGGTACCATTTTCGTGTAATATTTTCTTGTCATATTTACCTGAAACGGGGATTAAATTATTAATTTTAAACTTAATCACAAATAACACAATTTACAGACAATATATTTGTCGTTGAAAAAGTAGTGTTGTCCAGTGAGTGGTCGAACATAATAGAATTAACGTTTCGTATGTGTATTCATTTCTCAGGAAGAACGAATTGTGATTTATTCTCATATTTAAGTAGGTAAAGAATATTTTAATTATATATTTTAATGAAATCAGAACCCATCCTAACAATATCATCACCACGTATGCCGATGACACATGTGTCCTATCAGTTAATAATGACCCAACAATTGCATGACAAACTCTTCAATCACACATTACAAACCTTGAAGAATGGTGTCAAAATTGGAGGATTTAAATGGATTCCATTAAATCCCATCAAATCACCTTTACCCTTCGTCATAAAAAGATGACTTTCTGTCCTACAGTTTCCTTTTATAATACTCCATTTCTCCCTGTTGAACAAATCCGATATCTTGGACTCCACTTAACCAACTTCTAACTTGGAATCCTCATGCCAGTCTGACAACGACAAGAAACCGCTCGACATTTCCTACTACTTCAGCACTTACTTACCTTAGCTTAGCTTACCTTCAAATTAATTACAAAAGACTCATATACACAATAGTAAGGAATATTCGGACTTACTGAGATGAGCAATGCGGCTAGACTAAATAATCGAATTCTTCTCCTATCCGGCATTTTCAATCCAAAATCATTCGTAAAATTCCCAATGCTCCTTAAGTCGTAAAAATTAAAATCATCCACAATGTTCCTTATATTTCTAATATGGCCCAATCCAGGTACCTTTCCTTTCATAATAAACTTCAGAACCACCCTAACCCTCTCGTTTTTGGCCTGACTTCTTCATAACTTCTTCTTAACTTCTTCATCTTCGATCTCTAATAATCCTCAGCGGTGTCTAAGAAGAAGATGACCTCCTATTGTAAATAAATTTGTAGAGTAGCACTAGCGGGTAGTTTCTCAACAAATGTTTTCATATTATTATTTCTTCTTATCACATTTACTGAACGTATTCTTATTCTTAGTACAGTTGTAAATATCATAAATAAAAAAATATTTGAATATTATGTCTGCATCCTACAAACCCAATTTCATCTTTCATGGAAACATTCCACTATTATCCTGTTTCCAAAACCAGACAAAGCTCCCATCTGCTTAATCACATCATCATCCTATCATCCAAACCAGTTCCTGAAATAGCATTCTTGAATCAACAAAGGCACATCTCTCTCACTGAGCATTGGTGTAATAATTGGCGCAGCCATGTAAATGAATCTAAATACAAACATGACATCTTCATTCTTAGATTATGCCTGCCAATTCATTTTAACTCCACACAGCTTCCCTTCTGAGACACAGTGGGTATTTCTTAGACAGAATATTACCATGGAAACCACATGACACTCTTACGACAAGAACTTAACCAACGATAGGCCCAACTATATAGACTACTGGCTAGCAAATAACAACTTTCAGATGGAAACCAATTGCTAATCTTCAAGATAATCCTGAAACATATCGGGACCGACAGACCAGAACTATGAGGGACTGATAAATATCATAACAACAAACACATCTAATCCTTCCTATCTAAAGTCCTTCGAACATTACGGATGTGGTGGCTATTACATAGGTATTCAAAATTTCTTTCTGTAAAGTACCATTATTTTTTTTATATTTGATGTGATTAAATATTTCACATTGTAACCTGCTAAAAACATTGGTTAAACTTAAAATATAAAAACCATTTATAGTTAACTAAAGGAGAAATAAGCGATCGTAACAGAATCAGAAGAAACACGAGCTTGGCTGAAATGTTTGAACAGGTACGTGATTCCATACGTAACAGGTTGTTTGGTTGGATGTTCTATAGTAAAGGCGTAAAACCGTTGATAATGAACTAATTAAATTTATATATTATTATATCTTCTCTTTGTGAATAATAAGATTAAAATTAAATTAAAAAGACGTAAAATGTGCGTTAAAGTCGTTTGCGGTTATTAAACTTTAGTTATTTAAAGTTTGGTTTAAAGTTAGCACGTTAAGCAAAAAATAAATAATAAATAAATAAAAAAAAGGAAAAGGAAAAACAGGGTAAACAATGTAACAAGTGTTTATTATAATACCGGCTCCGATAATATTATATACATATTTATATACGGTTTTGATGAATGTTTGCGTTCATATTATTTGGTTAGCCCGTGCGAATAATTTTCATAATATATTATTTAGTGACGGAATAGCAAAACAATATGGAAATAAATAGATTCTATATATTATGTGAGGAAGAAATTACTTGTGTATTCCTTGTTCGATTACAATATTTCATTTTATCATAATAGAATATTTGAACCAATTCCTGCTGGACATTTATTTGCTTAAAATGGTCCGATTTCATTGACCCTTTTATTTTTTAGGTAGTAGAATAGTAAATGGATCTTTAAGGAGAAAAAAAAAAGATTTTTTGTTTACCATGACAAATCGAGTATTTCTTTGTTAATAATGGTCCAATTTCTACAATTTTTTATTTTATTTTTTTAAAGAATTTAGTAACCGTTCTAATTATCATTCGCATAGTCATAAATTAGATACTTTTTGATTTATGCGGAAATAAAGTTTTCTTATCTTCATATATTAAGCTAAGTGCAACCAAAAATATCCATCTGAAGTAATTTCCGTATAAAGATACTTTTATTATTAAATAAATAACTCACAGGCGTTGGCTGCTTTCCAACGGTCTATTCAATATAAGAAAGTTGTCCAACTTCATTCATTGAGCCATTTTAAAGCTGATATCTGTAGAAAAACACATCCTATTTCAAATTTATTTTTTTATTTTGATTTATTCAAATTATTGACAAAAACACTCTAAGAAGTAAATTTTTGGAGTTATCGGCAAATATAGTTTCTATCCTTCAAAATTTTCTATTATACTTTTTCTAGGGAACTTTCTACGGCCAATTCTTAAATACTGAAAGGAAACATAATATTCAAAATAAGTTCTCGATAGTACGATTTTCTAAATAATTAAAAAATATGAGATGTACGAACAAAAACATGATAAATATTAGAAAAAAAATTATTTTTAACTAAATCATGTAAGAATAGGCCCTAGAAAGTTTCCCAGAAAAAGCATAATAGAAACTTTTGAAGGATAGAGACTAAATTTGCCGATAACTGCAAAAATTTACTCCTTACTTAAAGTGTTTTTGTCAATAATTTGAATAAATCAAAATGAAGAAATAAAATTGAAATAAGATGTGTGTTTCTATAGATATCAGCTTTAAAATGGCTCTATGAATGAAGTTGGACAACTTTCTTATATTGAATAGACCGTTGGAAAGCAGATAGCGCCTGTGAGTTATTTATTTATATGTACGAAGTTATACTTGAAAAATAATAAGAAAAAAATAAATAATAAAAGTATCTTTATACGGAAATTACCTCAGATGAGAAACCATGAATATTTATGGTAGTACGTAGCTTAGTATATGAAGATAAGAAAACTTTATTTGTACATAAATCAAAAAGTATCTAATTTATGACTAGGCCCACGATAATTAGAACGGTTAATTAATTCTTAAATCTCGTAGCAATCGGACCATAATTACTAAAGCAACACTCGATTAGTCTTGGTAAACACAATTTTTTTTCCTCCTTAAAGATACTTCATTTACTATTCTACTACCTATAAAATAATAAATAAATTAAACTTTTTCATTAATTTATTGTAGTCATTTTTGCTAAAAATATGGATACTTTTTAGGTGACAATATGTCAAATCACATAGTTGTTTTTACTCAACCTAGGGTGAATCCCAAAATTTTCTCTAATTAAAGGAGAAAGTGTTTCTATAAGTGGGGCAGTATAGTTTGAGGGTTACAAAAAAAAAAAGAAGGATCAGACGAAAGTTCAGGAGAAGGTGCCAGTGTGGTGAAAATTGCTAATTTATTTGGGCTTGGTGATGGTGGGACAGTAACAATTATGGCCAAGGCAGTGTTTAGTGATTTGATAGATAAAGAGTCCACTTAAATTATTTGCCCAAGTGAGGTGGAACGTCAGACTTTAGTAAAGAAATGTTTCAAGAATTGCCCTATTGTGCGGGATATGTTGATGGGAGAGAAATATATTTGACTGAGAGACCAACAACTGACCCAGATACTTACTACTCACGACTGCCGAGATTAGGTATTAAAGCTTGTTTGTGAGTGGAGGTTACTTGATAACTGGCTATCCTGATAGTGTTCACGATGCAAGAATATATAGTAATTGCTGACTTAGTAAAAACCCCCATCGTTTTTCTTAGGAATGGAGTGGATTGCTGGTGACAGTGCCTACAAACTTTCTTCAACTGCATTTACTCGGTATAAAAAGAGGCATAATCACCTCTCTAAAGAAATAAACTTTAATCGTGTATTTTCAAAATACAGAGTGAGGGTTGAGCATTGCATAGGAATCCATAAGAAAGATTCAACAGCCTGAAAGAACTGAAGATAGTTATGACACACAGACCATTTTGCGGGACTCGGTTATTTGGACTCAGGGGACCTCAAAATGTGCATTTCCGTTGAAAACTAAGATTCGAAAATTAACACGATTGCAATACTTTCCCTTAATATATAATTACTATTACGTGTGTGGTAAGTGAAAGTAAAAAGACAACAAAAATTAATCTTAGCTGATATTGATACAATTATTTATATTGATTACCTTGCTTTAAAATTAAAAACTACACTTATGTTTGAAAAGGTAAACTTCGAAGTAATTTTTTTTTTAAGAGAGAGAAAACTAATAATAATAAAGATTAGGTTTGTCCTTGTATTGTGCAACTGATGCTAAGAATAGTATTTTAACTTTTTAAATTGGTAAAACTTCTTGCCAGTCGTGAGCAACGGCAAAAGATACATCGGCATGCCGATAAATGCCTCTCAACTACGATTGAAGTCATAAATTTCACTCAATATACTTAGAATCCAGTCAAATTGGCTCTAAAAATAGGTCCAGTAACTCCAATTTTTTACGTTAGGCGTATCGTTAATATAAATATCCAAGTTTTTGACATTGATCGATTTGTGGAACAGCCGTTTTGCTCAAGATTTATTATTAATCAAATCATATATCTTTGTGTTCTTATGGATTGTTACCATATCAATCCATAGTACTCTTTGGGTTCTGAATGGAATAATTATGAAACTTCATTTGAACCTTGTCCGAAGAATTTATAAGTTTTCCTTCAATAAAATGAGTAATTGACTAAAACGGTAGACAGTAGCCAGGCAGTGTTTTGAAAAGTATGGTCGAAGGTTAAAGAAGAAACAATCCAATCCAATTTTGAGTGTGCTTTTTTTTCATTTCATATCACTTATATGTTTATATTTGACCATTATACCGCAAAGATGTTATCTGAGCGACGAATAGCAAAATTCCCTTGATACTGAACCATTTATATTCCACAGGATCCATGTTTTCTTCAAGGCTTAGCTTAGTTTTATATCACATCTTATTAGTTATATATTACATATTACTGTCAGCGATAAATGTAAAAGTCAACATTAAAAAACAGGTTTCGTAACACTGTACAAGCCATTTTATGATAAAACTTGAAACATATTGACTAATCTAAAGAATACGATTGGAAGATTCGGTGGTTTTCATTAATTGATGTCATGTAAAGAATTTATTGGTGGAATCATACATAAAAGTGGACTAAAATAGCTTTTGGTATTATTTTTGCCGTGTATCGAAATAAATATATAAAAATATCTGGTGCACGCAACACAGCTTTCACATACCTCTCTAAATTGAATATATGAATTCTTGAAGGAAGTTAGTCGACTGTTCTACATATCATGGGTGATATGGGTGAAACATTGGCAAAAATAAAAAAAAATTTTAAAAAGACTGCGTCCTGAATATTTATCACCCATAAATTGAATATAAATTATTTTCAGGCAATGTTGGACTGATAAAAATAAAAAAAAGGTTTTGCACTAGATGATTAAAAAGAGGACAGCGTGGTAAAAAGAATTATAGCTTTTTAGGCTTTCCTATCATATGGACTATAATAATTCCCAATAGTCAGGATAATATGTGATGAGATGTACATCATTGTAAATGTATATGAGAAATAATAATAATACTTTAATAAAATAACTTTTCGAGGAAATTGATTTAAAAAATGAGATGTTCAGGTACTTGATTTTTTGCAGTTTTTGTAGTTCCTGTAACAACTTAAATTAGCTCTTTTTGATTTTATAAGAATGCCAAACTTTACAATTCAGAATGTATTTATACTTTTTATATACATGTTCAAGAAAGAGTAAAAAGAGTAAGGACTCATCCTGAACAAATAAGATATATATTTTAGAAATACTCCTTCTCGTCTCTTGATCTCAGAGGTTTTCTGATACGTAGCCTGAATCAAAGAGTATAACCAACTATCAAAATAATTGTAGAATATTAGCAATTGTTGAGTTTGTTGCAGCTGCATTTGTCAACATTTCGCATGAAGAAATAAGGCTTTCAGATTGCCGTAGATTATCAGTTGCTGGATTACTGTCAAGCATTTCGAACTGGTTTAACAAAAATGTAGGAAGGTAATTTTATTTTAATATTAAAAGAGAAAATTAGGAAAACGGTTTCAGATGGATACTAATAAGGAGGAGAATAGCTAAATTTTTGAGCTGAAATCTTGAAAAGTTTGAGTGATCGAAACCAAAGAGTAATATTTTAAAATAAATAAGTCTTAAAATGACAAAACCACTAGTACAGCCTCCATAAAAATTCAGCTATTTCTTTACACTTATTTATCACCCATCTTGCTCTTCTTTCCAAATATTTACCATTATACAATAAATGTTCAAAATCTAAAATTTATTAAGTTATCCCAACCCTGTTTTTCAAGCCGAATTTCATGTGCATTATGTTAATATTTATGTGGGTTTATTGTTAAACACAGATGTGAAAAAAGAATAATATAAAAAAAGAAATTTTATTCCAATAATAACAACAACAATAAAACAAGGATATCAAACAAAATCCACGAGTATCGAATAAACAAATGTAAACTTTACAAATAACTTGTATATATCTATAAATAGTATGTTATAATTACTATAACCTAATATGCAATAATTATTAAAGGGAACATATAAGCATCATGTTTTAACAAAAAATGTATATAATCCTTAACTCGTATTGTTAACATTTTCTATTAAAATTTGTACACAATGCTACTATCCCTACATTTTTCGATTATTCATATAACAAATTTCTTACCTCGGTAAAATCAGAGTTAAGCATACAATATTAGTAAATACTCAGACATTTTTATTGATAAAATATTCACAAACCGACTTTTCGGTGGTCCTTTTCATCATCAGGGTTACATTTGTTTATATTTATTACACTTTTTTTTTCCCAGAACTGAAATCCGTGTAAAAATATTTAGTCATAATTAATGAATGAAATACACTTTTTTTTTCCACCTTCTTTTTTAGTGTCCTATTCTTGGTAAATCACATTGGTTTAGTAAAAAGTTACATAGCCCAATTCCGATAATATGAATGAATTATTAAACAAATGTGATTTTCCCAGAATTTTACACTTTAAAACAAATATATGTTTATTAAATTAATTTAATAATATTAATTATTTGAATGTTAATATTTAATAATTATTAAAGAACGGAACCCTGATGAGCGAGGAGATCTCAGAAATGTCGTTTTGTGAATTTTATATTAACAAAAAGGCATTAAGTATATAGAAGTATTTTTTTATTAGATATAATACGTATCTAAACAAAACACTTCTTACTAAATGTAGTTAAAATATAATTTACAATTCAATCGGGTAATCACTACTAGAAAATATCTATCAATTACATAAAAATTTTTCTCAAGAAGCTAAATCTTTGGTATTTACTATCTTTCGTAAATTTCGTATTTACGATTACAATTTTCATCAAAGAATTCCAAGCTCTGAATGAAATGTTTAAATGGAGAAATATTTTATGTATACAAACATACAAAATCTTAAATATCTTCAATGAGTGTTTTATTATTTACATTCAATAAGTTTAAAATAAATAGTTCGCTTAAATTTTTCTTTATGGTTTATGGTTTCTGAGTACATTCTTCATAGCAACACACTTCGTTCAGAACCAAGGTCATTATTTAATTATATTTCATATAATTAATACTTATTGTTTTATGCAGTGAGACTAGGCTGCAGATGAATAAGTTATCCAGAAACTTTGAATTCATTAGAGTATATAACGTTTTATAGAGTCTATAAAGTCTACCATCATACTTTTGTCACTGTTATTTTGTCTTCAGTTTCTCTATCTAACACATCTAGGTCTGCCTGCTTATTCTTTCTAGACTTTAAGATGATTATTTCTACAATCCAAGCAATTAATACCGAAATCATTAGAACAGTTTGGCAATGGATAAACAAAGGATAGCTATTAGTAACGTCTCGAATATATCCTGAAAAAAAAAACATAAAAACTTTTATTAATAGTATGATATTTTTATATTTTTCTTGCCATTTTATTATAGCTAGAAGAGGTAATAAATGGTTCATTCCATGTCAAATAATTCAATGAAAATAAATTTTTAACCTTCATGTATCCGATTCGTGTAATTTTTGTACGTCAGTTATACCTACTTCTTACAATAAAAATCTATTTTTATGAGTTTTTTAAATATATTTTTTAAGAAATTGCGGAGATAGCCTTATTATAACATGTTTTAATAGCTAAAATACTTGTAAGTTTGGTAATCATTGATAGTTCGCTTTAAAGCATTGTGCACTGACTTTTATTTGATATATGCATGACCTTAGGAAAAAAAAAAAGATATTTCAAATTTTTTAAATTTTACCTCTCAGTGGAACATGCCCACTAGGGGACGCGTCCCCCAGGTTGCGAATGGGGAATCTCTCCTAGGAGGGGTGGTCTGGAATATAACAAATAAAGACCCATGGACCAACGAGTACCCCAGTGCTGGGGTATAGCCTGGCAACCCTTTCTCATGAGGGAATACAAATATTCAGGAAGCCAGTTGTCCAGAGGATACTGCGGGCCAATCACCAATCTAGAGTAAATCGATTAAAAGAAATATAAGCAGCCTCGGATTTGGACAGTCAAATGGTTATAGACGAGGCAGAAAAAAGGACTTACGATTTGCTAATTGGAATACGTCACTTACCGATAAGGAGAGAGAACTGGTGGAGAACTAAAAAGATATAAGGTGGATATTATCGGGCTAAGTGAAGTGAAGAAGAAAGGGATTGGATTGGTAAAACTCCCAGAGTATAGTATGATATTTTCAGAAGTTAATATAGGACAAAGAGCCAGAGAAGGTGTCGGCTTTGTTCTGAAGGACGAATTATTTGATAGAATAGAAGCTTGGGAACCCATATCATCTAGGATTATCACTATGGACATTGTGCTCTCCACCAGAAAAGTTGCCATGATATTGGTTCGCCCCTACCGAAGATTCTGCCACTGTAGATAAAGACCAGTTTTATGAAGACCTGCAGAGAACAGTAGACAACACAAGGAACCGGAATGGATCTATCGTAGTGTCCGGAGATTTCAATGCAAGAACAGGTCGGGATCATCAACCAGCCTTCGGAACGATGGATATATGGGAGGTAAAGATTACATCAATAGCAATGGAATCAGGCTAATTGAGTTCTGCGTGGAAAATAATATCCTTTTGGGAAACTCATGGTATAACAATAAGACGATCCATAAAATCACATTTGAAAGAGGCAATGGAAGAGTTACCAGAAATAGCATCATTGATTATTTTATCATCGATAAGGAACTCGGACAGTACTTCACAGACATTAAAGTTATATGAGGAGCAGAGTTAAATACGGATCACAGGCTATTGGTTTCTGACTCCAAGATGCTAAAACCTCGGAAAAAGATCACCAAGTCATATAATAGGATAGCTGTCAACAAGCTAAGAGAAGAGGAAAATGAGTAGGCTTACACAAGTCACCTTTAAATCCAACTTCAAGAAGTTAATGGGGACGCAGATGTTGACACTATTTGGGTGCAAATCAAATTCAGTATACTCAAGGCAGCTGAGGATCTATGTGGTTTACAGCAAATAAGACCTACTACTAAGAAAACTAGGTGGTGGAGCGAGGATGTGAAACGAGTCATATCTGCAAAGAAAGAGGCCTGGAAACAGTACAGTAGAAGCAAGTCGCCAGGAGATTGTGCACTGTACATAGAGAAAAGGAACCAGTATAAGAGAATAGTTAAGGAAGAGAAGAGAAAATCTTGGAAGGAATTCGGGCTAGAACTGGATAAAAACTATAAAGAAAATATAAGGAAATTCTGGCACATCACAAGAGAACTAAGGAACAAAAAAGCAAAGCCTGTGAGAAGTTTAAAGGATGAGCATGGCATGCATGACAGAAGACAAAGACATACCAGAGGTTTGTAGGAAATACTTCCAAGAAAAATTCAGAATGGAAGAAAGGCAGTGAAATTTTCGAGATTGTGGTAAAAGATGTAGAAAAACTGAACCAGAAGTCTCCAACATGGATGACACAATAGAAGAGGAGTAAGTCAAAACAGCCATTGCTAAAGTAAATATTAGAAAAGCGGCTGGGCTAGATGGGATTGCACCCAAATTTATAAAATATGGAGGAAATGAGCTTGTCAAGTGTCTCCAAACACTATTCGCAACCACAACTCCTGCCGAATTCCTAACGACAGTTAAACACCCTCAAAAGTCTATATCCAGTGCCGGGGTTTTGTTTTAATAATCACGAGTGTAAATAACCTAGTTCCCCGATAAAAAGTGGAAGGCTATTCCCAATTCCCTCCAAAAAGGTCATTTACAATTAATTTTTTAACTGATTATTTACAATCTGAATCTCTACCGTTGTCCAGAGGTGTCCCACAAGGCTCTTCCCTATCCCCCACCCTTTTTCCCTTCTATATAAATGACCTCCCATCCTCAATCCTGTACTGTCAATACCACTTGTATACCGACAACATTCAGATTTACCTCTCCTTCAATCTAACCGATTCCTCAGATACCATTCTAAAAACCCAAGAAGATATTAATAGAATAAGCGAACAGGCTCTGAACGCTAAGAAAACGAAAGTCATCTTGATTGGATCCCCCGCACTCCTCAAATCCTTCCCGACATCCCTCAATCTTCTCCTGAACAACTCACATATCTTATTCCATACTACCATTAAAAACTTAGGTGTCACTTTTAATCAAACATTTACCTGCAAACCACATATCTCCCAATTCCCGTCGCACTATCTCCACCCTAAAACAGTTCAATCGCCTACGTTATATCCTTCCATATAAGTCCTCTCATCTCCTAGTTTCCTCTCTTGTTTTCCCCCACTTCGACTATGGCTGTACAACAGTCCCAGAATAATAAAATATATTTGCATTTCATTTTAAAAGGTTTGGGATCTCAAAAGGACACCCATGGAATGGAAAAACAACATCATTATCCCAGATCCATAAGAAGAGAAGCCAAAGTGTATATGATAACTAACGCCTCATATGTCTGTCATTGGTGGTATTCAAACTATACACTAGAGTCCTGGAACAAAGATTAAGGAAATTGGTGGAAGAACTGGAAGAGAAACAGGCTGATTTTAGGCCCGGCAGGCAGACACAAGATTATATCTTCTCTCTGAGAATGATTGTAGAGAAGGCATGGGATAGAGATAAAGCAGTATACCTAGCTTTTCTAGATTTATGGAAGGCTTTTGACCATGTTCTTAGACAGGAAATATGGGATGCATTGAAAGATAGGAGTATCCCACAAAACCTTATTAGTGCAATCAAGTCAGTCTACCAAGACCCAAAGGGAGTAAAAAGGCTAGCCACAATGAGTCCAGGTCATTCCATTTCTTTAGGGGAGTTAAACAGGGCGATAGCCTGAGTCCACTACTGTTCATAATTTTTATGGATGCCATTTGGAAATTTTGTAAAAGTAGAATACCCAGAGCAACAGTGTGATATTAAAATATGAGCCCAGTGTTGGCACAGGCATTGTTGTATGCAGATGATGTATTGGTTGCTGCTGAATCGCTCCAAGTCACTGTGAATGAGGGCAAGAAGAACTGCAACTCAGAAGCATGCAAATCAATCCCTCCAAAATCAAGATTATCTGTGTTGGACGAAGGAACAAGGATCTTGGAATAACTTGCAATGGAGAGACCCTTGAGCAAGCTGATACCTACTGCTACTTAGGAACAATAATTGGCAAGGATGGAGGAATAGACCAGGAAGTCATGAATAGAGTCCTAAAGGCCAATGGAATATATTACCAAATATCCATGACACTCATTGGAAAGCAGGAGTTGAACAGAAAAGCGAAGATTCAGCTATTCAAATCAGTTTTTCTCCCATTGCTACTATACAGATCGGAAAGCTGGACAGTCTTTAACCGCAATGCCAGCAAGATTGTATCTGCAGAAATGAGATTCCAATAGAAAATATTAGGAAAAACCAGGCGAGATCAAATAAGGAATGAAAGGGTGCAAGATGAACTAGGAGTTAGATCTGTCCTAGAAATGATTGAAAAAGTAGTTGAAGTGATACAGGCATTTTAACAGAATGGGAGATAACCGTAAGTCCAGGTGGCTTCTAGAAGCAAGACCGGGACGAAGGCGACCACAAGGCCGGCCAAGAATTATGTATGCAGAATTGATAGAGAGAATTGGCGCAGCGAGAGGAAGCACCATGCCATGCCAGAGATGAGAAGGCTTGCACAGGACAGGGACCATTGGACAAGATGGTCAGAGGCAGGTACCCCACACTTAGCAGCACACAGGAGATAGTGAGAGAAAAAGAAGAAGAAAATTTCAAAACACCTTATCATAGATTTTTAAAAAAAATATATGATATTCTGAAACACATTGATTCATGCCAAATTTTAAGATGTAGGAATGATGAGATCATGGTTAAATAAAATCTAGTTGTTAAGGAGGTGCAATAGGATTCACCATATAAAAATAAATCATTTATTGAATAATTTTAAATATAATATATTATGTTATATTAATAATATTATAAATATAATATATAATATTATTATCTTGATAAAATGTAGAATATTGATGAAATAATTACATTCCAATTATTTCACAGTGACTTTGTGCTTCAATCATAAACGCTGGCACTTTGGAAAGACGGTGGTGGGGGAGGGAAGAGTGAAGATTAGAGTTTTATCTCAGCAAAATAATATCCTTCGTATTATTCAACTATGGTCTTATCCAAGACCTCAACGTTATATAATATGATCCAATATAGAGAATTTTAAGTGGATAACAATTTTAAGTCAAATAACAACCCCTCCTTTTTCTTGATTTAACTAAGCAGAGGCTATACGAAAAAATGAAGAAACCTCCTAAAAAAAATTATATGCATACAGACAATAGGCAACTATGCAAATTAACATCGTTTGAAATAAAATGAGAAAATAAAAGGAACAACATCTGTTATTGAGTACACAATACAGACTTCTTTGATTTTTATTTATTGGATTATACCCAGTCTAATCATTTCTGGCATAATGCGGAGAGAGAGGGTTGTTCTAGAGAAACAACCAGACATATTTTTTGGAAGCTTGATATTCATACCGTGGGTCCACCACGAAATGAATTTCAACCCGCCCAGGTGAGAATCGAACCCACAATATTCAGAACCGGAAACTCTGGGACCCACGCCCCAACACGCTCGACCATCCCATCCTCAATATAAACATTACTACAAGATTTCTACAAGCTGATTTATTTTTGTTATGAATCAATATCATAGGTTTGCTTCTTTTTTTTTTTTCAAAAGAGTGACATATGTTTAAAAAGGAATAAATAGGCTTATTATAATTATAAAACAAAACAAAAAGAAATGGCATATTACTACTTGATCAATAAATGGCTAATGTTTCTAAAAAAATTCTGGCATTGCTTCTTAACATTATAAAGGAAAAATAGGAAAGATTAGTGTTTCTTTCTTCTTAATTATAGCATATGAAGCATACAAATTAACAGCTTCCCTTGCAAATTGTCTTCAAAAAATAGGAAAGACTAAATGACAATCATAATGAATACCAACATATTTTTGATGTTTAAAAAAAAATTAATCTTCTGAAATCACTCACTCTACAATCTTTATAATGTTGTAATTATTTGTTTTTAGTTTGTTACCAACTATTTATTTATTTCATTAAAATTTCTGTCATATTTTGGAAAATTTGGAATTCACTGCTATGATTCGAGAGCAGTATAATTAGGTCAGTTATTTCTACTTAATTTGAAACAATGACACAAATTGAAAAATTAAGATACATGCTGGGAAAAAAGTCTCAAGTTTTTTTGTCATACCATTAAGAAACATGTATAATGATTATTTTTTTTCAATTTTCATTATATGATTATCATTTAATTTTCAAAATCAATTAGCAAAAGGTTATCAGAACATCCAAAATTTTTTATATGAATTGATTTATTTCTTTGTATATTTTTAATGATCAAGGCAAACCCAATTCACACTGTCTTCTCATATACCAGACTTCTTCGTAAATGTAATTTTATGACTTAGTTCATAAATTGGATTAAAAAATAGTTAATATTTTTAAGTCACAGTTGGAGTTCTAGTAAAACCTGACCTATCTAATTTTTTAAGGGTCAGTGGGAAGTTATTAAACCTCATCATGGTTCATATTAATTTATAAAATTAATTGAAAATTTATGTATATATTGAAAAAATATATCTAATGTGAAATTAAATATGTTGCAAAACAAAATCAACTATCTCTTACAATCAAAATCTTTTACTCTTCATCAAGGCCCTGCTGATTTAGGGTATAAAAGAATACTAATAATAATTAAGATTTTTTGTATGATAGTTGTAGATTAAACAATAAAGGGAATGAAAAGTAAATATAAAAGATATATCAAAAGTTGTAGATACTCACCTGACACAGGTCCTAAGATTACAATCGAAATCCCATTAGAAACCATACACAAACCAAGAACAGAAGGAAAATTGTTGCCAGATGAGTATTCAGTCAAAACTAGTGGATATGATGTTAGAGATATTCCACGGAAGAAACCAATAATCACTAATGTAATTATGATTTGTCCAAGAGACCTCTGTAAAGCTAAACCTTAAAAAAAAAATGTTTTGTATCACACGTAACGAACGAGCAACATAAATAAGAACTATATAAAAAAGTTGTTTATATTAAACTGTTGCTACGTATCAAATGGGGTTATATATAGAGATTTTATCGGGATGCCACTGGTAATTATTGAATATAATTATCCAGAATTAATTAATAAAATATTAACAAATTATGTCATTTGACATATTGGTCCTTGATTAATTTATTGGATTACTTCTCACAAAGGCTTGTTGTGTGTTTATCTGTTCTCTAATTACCAAACATTACCTTTGCTTATAATGAAAGAAATAGGTGGCATGATGAGAATAACTTTTATGTACAAATTATGTTTATTTACAATTAATATAAGAAAGAATGTTATATACATTATATTTACAAAAATTAATGAACTATACAATTGGTTGTGAAGGCATGATTCAGATGGATGGAATTTAAAATTACATTGCCATTAAATATTTAAACATCTTTACAGGATTATTGGGAATTACTTATCTAATATGTTATTTGAAGTGGTGTATGGCATGGCTGCATCTGCGAAGTCATGGTAATGTTTCAGTCCTCCAGCTAGAAGAAAACATCAGGGACCTCCTCAGGCCGGGCAGCTACATCAGGCCTCTCTTCTATCAGCCTCTACTCATCAGCTGTCCTCAGCTGAGTCCCAAAAAGAAGTGTCTTAGTCCAACTTCTATATTTTCCACCTTTCTTCATCCCCTCTCTTTTGGTAGTCTTTTCTGATTGTTTCAATTTTTGTAGCAAAAGGGATGACCACACCCCCAGCGATATGTTGAACACACCCCTTTTAGCAGGTACACGACCGTTTCTTCCTATGCTTAAGAGTTAAAAGCTTTTTGATCCTCTTTAAACATAAGACTGTCCTTTGGTGTTTTTGGCCGACACGTGTGTCAAGTACTTCTATTGCTAGTGGGTGTGCTAAGAATATTCTCAAGAGTGCTAAAAGGTTACCTCAGGGGGTTATCAGGTATCCCGACCACTATCTAAGTAACCAATTACAAAAGATTGGGTCGGGGGTTTCAGGTACCCGCCAGGTTAGAAATTATTTTTAAATATTATTAATTACCATTAGGCTAATTTCAATACATAGCACTGTGGAAATGATGTAAATAATTTTTTTTTTGTACTAATTCGGTCAATTCAAAGCAAGTTATTTAAAATTTATAAATTAATTATACCAAAAATATATGGATATTTTATAAATTTTCTCTCATTCTGTTTAACCTTCTTTATTGATTTTTACACACTTTTATATTTTGGTGGCCCGATTTGGGTGACCGTCAACCAGGAAAAGCCATGCTGCCCGAGTCTCTCCCCTCTTCCGGGTATGTGAGTCCCGTTAGTCTACTGGAGGCAACACATACCGACCGGGCGTAGGACTGATGACCCTACCCCATGTACTTAAATCGGGAATCGGGATGTGGTTTACCAGGATGTTAATAGCCCCCCTGAGGTTCGGTACATGGACGGTCTGTTTCAGGAACAGACGGTCCTTGAACCCGAGAAAGTCGGTGGGAAGGACATTGGCAACAAAGGGATCGGCTATGAAGCTACGAGTGGCCTGCCGCTGCACCATGGAAACCACGGTTCGTAGCAACGTGAGGTTGGGTGACACCCTCCAGGCTATCTGATCTCCCGCAAGTATCACACGTCTTATTGTTATTATTATTACATATTATTATTATTTTTCAAATATAACAGGGAAGTTACAATATATATATATATATATATATTGTATATATATAGAATATAAATTCTATTCCTATAATAAACTTCTAATCTTAATAGAATATAAACTCCTATTCCAATTCCTCCTTACAATTCAATCAGACGCTGGGTAGCCATTTATTATGTAACAAAGTCATGTTCTGTAGTGTAAATGTAATAATGTAAATACTTCTGCTATCACTTAGTTTTTAGTTATTTTTTTTATTGTAATATGTATTTTGGCCAGATGGAATGTTAATTTTTATGTACAAAATGTTTATTCTTAAGGGAATTTGTCCCAGAATAAAGTTGATTCTTCTATTCTATTCTATTTCTATTCTATTATATATATTTATATATATATAATATATATATATATGTAATCAAAAAAATAAATATATATGTATATATATATATATATATATATATATATATATATATATATATATATATATATATATATATATATATACATACATATATATAATTTATTTTTTTGATTTAGATATATTACAATCTGTCACATCTAAGGACAATCGTATTAGTTATGGAATAATAAATCACACACACTATGTACAATGAATAAAAAATAAATAAACAGAAAAATAATAACACTAAAATTAAATATATATAAATTAATAGAAACTAAATTAATCATAATAACTACTTAAATATACAAATGATTTTATACAATATTTACAAAATTCATTCACTCAAGATCTCCAAACCAAGCCTTTCTCCCCACTTGTGGAAGGAAAGGCAGGACTCTAGGAGATCCCAGCGCCTCTCACTCAGCCACATTACAGGTATTAAGGACCAGTGAAGGCTGAGAATAGCATTGTTTACCTTTCATCAAGACCACCTAACATATATCTACTTGCTTCATTTTCTATATTTCTTATTTCATATTCACATTCCTAAAGTTTATATTTCCAAATGTTTTAGATTTTATCAATTTCTTTAAGATACCTATTTAACTAGCAATATTTTACTGTTATGTCCTTTCATCAGCACATATATATGCTATATAATGTATAATGTATGTGCTGAATCATTAATCTAATTGTTTGCCAGTTTATTATTTATTACAAACATTCTTATAAAATTACTTTTATGCATAATTCCATGGCATTTAGTGGTACGTTTTATCTCTATTTTTTTTGTTAGCCATAAAGGTTGGAAATCAATGAAATTGTAGTACACATAACAAGTATCAGATTTTCGGCTCTAGTTGAAAGTCATTTAACATCCATATTCTTATAATGATTATAATTTATTTTAATATTTTGTAAATATTGTTAATTTCAATGTTGTATTCCAAATCTAGAAACTTCTTATAAATAAAGGAAGTAAATTATGAGTTTTTACATGATATTATCATATTTAATCCACTCCTCGACATTTGTCTTAGAACATTGTTTAGTTAATATATTTTAAATTATATATCATCAATTTAAAATGTTAACTCATCTTAATTGAGTGTCTTGGTTGTCCTTCAAATTGATTTAAATCTCACATTATTTAGGACAGAAGGTAACATATAGACAATCCTTTGTGTTTGTCAAAAAGAACCGATAAGCCCAATTTCACGACTAGTTCTTCCCACCATTACCAGTAGCAATAGTAAGTAAATTTTTGTTTCCAATTTTACTACTTTCCATCATATAAAACCTTAAGGCCCCTACACACAGAATGCGTATGTCCCGGCGATATTCCTTTGTGTGTATAGCTGTGGATTATCGTGCTCTGTGTGACTGCTGTAATGTAATACATACACAACTATATTGCCGCACACAGGAATATCACATCACCGAGATGTATCACACTTTGTATAGGAGCCGTTAGTTTTCCATAAATTCTTTCCCAAATAGATTCTGTTCTTAGTCACTCTTCTTAACTTTGATAAAAGAATAGTCACGAGTTCGCGTCCCGGTGCCCGGAGGAGTTTTTAAATCCCCAACCACACTCCCTGGCTCAGGAAAACTCCCGTATAGCCTTAAGGGCGAGGAAGGGGAGGACAAAAAAAAAAAATATCACTCTTCTTAATACATATTTTACTACACGAGACTGATTTCCATATCCTCCTATCTCTTAGACATCTTATATCTATCTTGTATATCTTGGACACATATTTTATACCTTACTTGTGGATTTGATATGAATTAATTACTACAAAATACTTACAAGACCGGCCTAAGGCTACACAAATAGAGCCAAAAATGAAAGTGGCCCGCCTGGAGACTGCTACCCTATCCAAAATTGGAGGTACAATTAATCGACAGCATATGTCTGACACAGCCATTGATGACAAGACAGATGCAGTTTCAGAATGTGTGAAGCCAAGGTCCGATAAGAAGAAAGGCAAAATCAGTTTGAAATTCACTTCAACCACAACTAGCATTGACTGACTATAGAGGATATTCAAATATACCTTTAAAAAAAAATAAAAATTTTACCAAAATTAACAACATATGAAAATTATATTTTTTAATACGAATTTCAACATATAATTCAATCAGTTGTATAAAACTCACACCATCTCTTAAGAGATCAAGATCCATAAAATTATAAAACCTTGACAAACTACTTTTTAATGATTTTGTATGTTTTCTGAGTTTGTTTTTTGTGTTGTTTTTTTGTCTTTCTTTCCCATTTGAATTATCGGTTAATTTTACCAGTTCTTTTCCAGATTCTTCATCAGTAATTTCCTAGCAATACAAGTTTTAAGTCAGTATTGACACTAGAAATTAAAAATATACTAGAATAATTACAGTATAAATGCAATTATAATTTATTATGAACATTGAGGTTGAATAAGCACAAACTTGGATATAAAGTGTATTTCCTGCACCATCGGAGTGCTGAATTAAAGATTTTTTTGGGGAGAAATCTTTGGATGGAATATCTAACAAACTATTTCTCTCTTCTGAAGTTGGCCAACTCACATTACTTTTCACTCCATCTGAAAAAGTTATAAGAACGAATTACACTAATCAATTAAGCAATAATAAATCTAGGAATTCATATACTGTTAGATATTATCTAAAATCTTATTTTGAAGGATTAATAATCACATTCATAACTGTTAAACATATTAATAATTTATTAAGTGAAGACCCCATAGCTCAGAGTACTAACGTTCACTTCTTGATGTATAGTTCTAATAATTAGGACAATTATTGTAGGGTGAATAAATGTGTCCGTGATAAAACTGATTCCATTAACAGCTCTGGTCATCCTATTCCTAAATAGTCCAAGTGAGGCATCGCATTGAATTTCAATCCAATTCAAATTCCAAGTATATATTGTTCTTCCTCCTTACTTAGCGATATTAAAAAAAAAATCTTTACCCTCTTCCCCGCTATTAATATCTTATTTACCATTTAACCAGGTCGGAAAGGCTCAAATTCAATCCGATTCTCCATAAATCAATTTTGAAATGCTTCATTTCAGTGCTCCCAGACAAGAGAGAGGCCTATTAATTATGCCTCTCAAGCCTCACCTCGCACCACCTTCCAAACAAGTTGATGGACTAACCAGGTTCATTTTTTAACCTAGCTCTGCTACTTTTGGTGCTATATAGGCGTTGCTAATTGCTTGTTCTTGTCTCCTTCCTTTGTAAATGATCATGGCATGGATAAATTTCCAGCTTCTGGAAGAGTATCCTTTGTCTAGACAATTATTAAAGATTACTAACAACCCTTTTCCAAATAGGGTATCCTTTAGGTTCGACATGTCTGTTGTGTCTGAAGCACGACCAGTCTCATTTTCCCCTCCAGCGTTAACCGAAGGCACTAAAACATCTCTTTAAATTATATATTCTTCAATAAAAGGAACTGACTAAACGTTTTTTTAGCCTAAAATCTATAGCTTGATCACGACAGACAAACAAATGTTCATTGTCAAAAATCGTAAGTAATACAAAATAAAATTATGTCTCATATATGAAAAATAAACGTTTGTATATATTGCTTGATAAAAATTCTAGATCCAGATATTAAATAATTTGTAATTTATAATGATAGAAAAACGGAAGGGAAAAATCATAGACCTTAAAAGGAATTCTGTGAACAAATTCACTATTTGGATAAGTCATTTACAAACCCAATAAAGTTTAGGAAGCCTTACTTGCGGTATCTGTTGAGGCTGGATTATCCTTTTTATCAGTTAGTAACAGAGTGTGGGCTTCTTCTTCTTCCTAGGAAATAATATGTTTGTCTTTAATAGCTGAACCAATTACAAAGTGCTAAAAATCATAATTGGAATGATCTATATTTTATTGATAATAAATAAATTCATAATTATATTACACATTAAGTCAGTGGTGCAGACCCCTTTTTTTACCAAATTATTAACACCCTCCTGAAACTTAAGTGAATAGCTGTATCTCATCGTAACCTACAACCAGGGGTACCCATCCCCCAAGATCAATGACGCATGAGCCACTTCTCCTTCACCTTCCTTCTTCCAAGATATTTTTTGCTCCTCTTAAAAACAATGCAAGCAAAAGTAGAATTTAAAAAGACATATATCATATACAATTACACTTGATGCGGTCTATTTCATGTTTTCCCTTTGTCCCTTTGTTCGAAACTTTTTTTTCGAAATTCATAACCCCGTAAAAATATGCTTCCCTGAAAAGTTCAAAACCCCATCAAAATGTGCCCCCTCAAAATTTTTGATGGTACAACTTGCAGGTGCGCGTGACTTCTGGGCACCCCTTCCTACAACTATTTTATTTACAAAAACTCTTGGAATTAGGGCGTTTTTAGTATGGAGGTCGGCAAACTTTGTCTATTTAATTAGGTACTGAAAACTCGTATATACACATCTGCTTTCCTCTTTATTGTAAGATAATTTGATCACAAAATCTTGTAGATTTTGGGTTTATACTTTGGATGGATCAGAAGTAGAATCGCCAGGAGAATATGGAAGAAAAATGCATCACAAATGAACTCAAGACTTACCAGATCTGAGCTATTATTATCAAGTGAACTGCTCCATGACAACCTGTATTTTTTAAAAATTCTATTTACAAGTTATAAACATACTTTTTGAATTAGTTTCTTTAATAATCAAAGTTTTATGCCAAAAAGTATATTGGTATCTTTAATTTATCAGAACATACATTTAAGAAAACATACAACCATTACTGCTTTCTTGTGCCAGGAAACTGGTTGAAATAAATAAGCTCCCACCACAGCATGAAGAGATAATGCCCCTATTATGAGAAGAGCGGAACGAAAATCATATTCATCCAGCAAGAATCTAAAAATAAAATCACTTGATTCAATATTCTCAATACTTTCAGTACTACTTTTTTATCCAAAAATACATTGTACTCTCGCTAATCGGAACATTACTGATCCATACCGTTTCACAATCCGAATCTACCCTTAAAAAAATCTTTTCAGAATTGATTTAAAGGTTATACAAAGTTAAAAATAATCTTAGGTACTTTAAACATACGTTTCCATTAAATTATAGTGTTTTACCTGACAATTTGAGGCATCAACATAAACCCTACAACAGTACCAGTCATTGAAAGAGCTATCGCCTGTCCTTTCTTTTTTGTGAAGTATTCATTAATAACTACCAGGGTAGATGAATTAGCAAGGCCGACTCCAATACCTAGAACAGTTTAAAATCATATATCTTTTTTATATAACAATTGGGACGGCCTTTAGGGCTGGACCACATCAGGGTGTAAATAAATAAATGTAATTTATGATGTAAATAAATATATTTTTTATATATATTTATGAAATTTATAAAAATAAAAAAAAATATTTTTTTGGTTTGCTATGAAAATACGTATTTCTTTGTTTTCTTAGATGTGTAATACATATCTCAACTTGGTTTCTCCTTAAAAAAATATTTGAACCCACTTTGCTCGTTGGGTCGGTACGAATTGTTAAATTTCAAAATTTTATTTATACTATAAAAATATGCCAAATATAAATTTGATGAAATAGAGCTTTCATGAGTAATATAAACCGAATATAAGTGTAAAAAAAAAAAAAGAAAAAGAAAAAAAAAGAAATCAAACCTGTTTATTTTGAGGGATTACTGAATTTCCAAAAACCGCTTCTCCCAGAAAATTTATTCTCATACGAAAAACTTTAGAACTTGTAATACAGATATTTTTTAGCCAATGAAAACTGACTTTACTTGGCAGACTATTTTTTTGTTTAGTTGCTATTGTTACCAATAAAATAACTTGATAACTAAATAGCTTGATTGTTACCAATAAAAAAAAAATGGAAACAGTTTATAAATAAAAATGAAAATGTTAGTTTCTTCAAAACCTCTAATCTCACTATAAAAAAGAAATGTTTATTTCGATTTAAACGGGACTTGGCTAAAATCTTCTCCTTGAAGCCCTTTTAATTTATCTATTCACAATATACCGAAAAGAGGTTGAAAGAAGGTAAAGATGGATTTAGAATTTTACTCGTGTATTTCTGATAAAATAAAGATTTTTTGGTTCACTAAACCTATGAGTATTTGAAAGCTTCCTAATTTTTTTCAGTAAATATTTTTTAGAAGAACTCTGTTACGACAAATCTGTATTATATATATTGCTATAGTATAAGTACGAACCCATTGTACCGAACGAAGGAGCAAAGTAGGTTAAAACATTTTAATGAGATATCAAATTGAAAAAAAAAATCTGGTGCGTGCAACACACAACTTTTACTTACTGCTCTACTTTGAATAGAAATTATTTTCTGGCAATGCTGGGCTATTATCAAATTTTCGAAGTGTATTTTAAACGGAGCTTAAGCTTAAAGCTTATAGATAACAAGTCATTAAGACCATTATAATTACAAAATGTCTATTTATTATATCGACGTTAGGCAATAAAATTCTAGTAAAATTGGAGTTTGTCATACTGTTAACCGAAATGCTCATATATGCCTACAGACGTTTGAAAGTATATCTGAAAATTTAACCTATAAATGATTATGGATCCTAGGACTATTAGTAGTGTTGCGTGGAATCGGTCTTGGTCTAGCACTTTGCAGACCAACGCCGCCTATCTGTTGCAAGATCAAGACCAAGACTAGTAAAAAAAATCGATTTTTTGAATAAAAATTGAGGCAAAATAGTCACTAATACTTGACAATTTTAGTTAATATATGTAAAGAATTGGTGTAACCAATACAATTTTTCATTTAACTATTGTAATTTCATTCAGACTTAATTAGGTTTCTCATATCTAAAAAATAACAGTAATATCTCTCTAGTAATTATTTAATAGGCAACTGCAAGTATGTTACGAGAGTCTTGAGCAAGACCAAGATCTAGACCAAGACTGAGTTTGTAAGATCAAGACTCCTCTCGGTCTCGTATTTGGGCAACAATAACTATTAGTTATTAAGCCGTTATTTTCTATTTTAAAGTTTACTAAAACAAAATTACGAGATTTTCATTGCCTTGCTTTGGATAGGTAAAAAGTTGTCTCACTAATTGTAAGTGGATAATGCTGGGATTTCACAAAGGTAAAATTCGCCAAATTATTCACTAATTTAATTTTTTAAAAGTTACTTGATGATTTTTTGGAATAAACGGCCGATAGATACTGAATTATTTAAATATAATATCTTATCTAGACTTAATATTCTACAGTAAATACATTTGAGGTTATAAACATATCCATGAAATGTTTTTATACTTCACTTCTTCTTTCACACAAGTACTACGAAATAGTATTTTAAACAATGACATTGGCTTGTTTCGGTGGATTTTAAATACTTTTTTTTTCAATCTTAGAAACGCACTTAAAAGTTTACATTTAGTTAGAAAATTTCGTTTATAATTTCCTTGGAAACATGTGATATACGTTAAATAATGTTGGTTTTCAGAATTTATTATTTAAATTTTTTTCGTCACTCACCGTTACCTTCTACAACTTTATTTATTAGATATTATTTTTTCTAACATTCTCCGCTTTTCAATGATATATTACACTTATACCTTCTGATTCTGACTTTGACTACAGCTGTGTGGTGTATGATGGCCTCTCGGTGGAGCTCCGTGATAGACTGAAAAGATTAATGAATAACTGCGTAAGATTTGTTATTGGTGCCCCGAGGTACTCCCATGTCTCTCACCACTACACTGAGTTAAGGTGGCTCTTCCCCTCCTTCCGAAGACAATATTTTCTAGGTACGTTCCTCTACCAAATCATCAACAACCATCGTCCTTCTTACGCCTACAACCTTCTCCAGTTCAAATCCTCAGTCCATTCCCTGTCCACAAGATCTCGACCTTCTGACCTTTACATGCCTTCTCACAGATCTGCCTCATTCCAAAATTCCTTTATTGTTCGCTCTGTCAATTTCTGGAATTCCCTCCCTATCAAAATTCGACATTCCCCCTCCATATCCACATTCAAATCCCTCCTATTCCAATTCCTATCACAAAAACAGTCAGATACTTGCTAACCATTCGAGCGGATTTTAATAGAGAATTTGATACATTTTTATTTTTTAATTCTTTATTTTTTTCGGAAAAGTGTATACTGGTCTATAAGAGCAAATAGCTTTAAGTGTCTTGTCATAGTATTAATGGTTTTGTATATAGTTTAGTTTGTTTTGTATATAGAATTTTTACCTTACATTTTTTTTACATTATTTCTTTTTTTCGATTGATGTTATTTTGGCCAGATGTAATATTTTAATTTTGTTCTATTTTGTTATTCTCAAGGGACTGTGTTCCAGAATAAAGTTATTTTTCTATCTATCTATTTGTATTTCCGGAGATTCATTTTTTATCCTTTATTCGATTATCAAATTCTTCCAAAAGTTATATTTGGCATTTGTTTGTAATTTTTAATAATAAGAGATAGTTGATTATTTAAAGTAAACCATATTAAAAGTATTTTAGAGGAAGACGCATATGAACATTGGGCATTCAAGCCCTGTAAAGTGACATCAACGGGGATAATACCTAAATGATATTAAAGACCATGTAGTTATACAATCATATACCGAGTTTAATGAAAATCGTTAGAGCCGTTATTGAAAAAATTGTTAAAATGTGTTTCAGCGTTCATATAAAGTGGCACTTTCGGTAAGCCGATTTTAACGAAAAATTTGCTGTCGCGTCCGGCCCATAATTCAAGTAAAAGAATTCAAGTTACCTTGAATACTTAATATTAGTTTCGTACTACTTTTCATTTATGAGCTAGAGTGTTAACACACACACACACACACACACACACACACACACACACACACACACACACACACACACACACAGATCTTTTTGCGACACTTGGTTATTTGGACTCAAAGGACCTCAAAACATGTATTTCTGTTGAAAACTGTGATTCGAAAATTTTCAAGATCGCGATATTTACACTTACTATATATTTCATATATACGTAAGTGAAAGTAAAAACATCCTGCTTTCTAATATAAAGTACATTTTCTTATATATTGATTTAAAAATGTCTTTTCTTTTATGTCCGTCAAGACAGGAGATGTGTGTAGGTGGTCTGCATCCATTGACACAATTTACAGCTAGGATCCTCAGCTACGCCTATCTTGTGGAGATGACTTTGCAGATAGTCGTGACCAGCCGCCAGGCGGAAGCAGGCTACTGCATCTTTTCTCGGTAGTTCAATTACAAATATAAATGAGTAGGGGGAAATATTTTAGAAGAATGCAAATCCGTTTGTTTTCTTCAAATGCTAAATAATGATTATGGTCGAGTTTCGACCACTTTGCGATCGCTAGTTAGCTGAAATGCATATTGCTTGGAAAATTTGCCATCAAAAACATTAGCAAAGATTTTGATTGTTAATACCTCCAATTACTGCATACGTAATCATGATGTGCAGCATACTGTTTGCTGGAGCAGTCGATAGAAAGGCTGTGGTACATAACGCCGCTCCTAAAATAGCTACTTTCCTGTAGGAATACTTCTTTGTTAGAGCTCCGACAATAAGACCTGAAAGGAAAATTAAATAACTTTTATTGCCGTATAATAAACTCCAAGACAAAATGAATGCATCACTTTATTCATTTATCAATTTCCTATTTTTGAAAGTGTGCTGTAAGGTTATTAAAAACAGAGTTTTAGTACATATAGTTTAAACTAAATATGAATAATCCATGTTTTATTTTTTATTTTCCTGAGGGCGTTCACTATATCACGATAAGAGTCAGGGTTGTCGGGGTAAATACAAATGTTTCTTGCACTTGATTCCAATTTAAATGTTGCATCACAGACATTTTGCAAAAATTATATAAACGCTAGATAATTTTCAACACCATTAGCATAAATAGGTGGTATGTTATTAAAAATGAATAAACCAAAACATATCGTCGGAATCTTGTTAAAGTATTGAATGTGCAAACTTAAACAGGCTCACATTTGTTTCTTTAAAATTATAAATATTAAAGCTTGGTGTAGAATATCATGTATTTTTCACACTCGATTGAAACTCAAGAATGTATGCATTAATTTATGTACAATAAATTCATTTACTTTTAGGATGTACAAATGCACTAAGAAATCACCAACATATGTGAGTAGATCTGCATCTATATTCGTCTCTTAGTAAACATACAGTTATTTCTAGAGTCATCAAAATTATTTTTTTTAAATGATATGAAAAGGTTTAAGAACAAAATATATATCTACTAATAAATGGACAACAAATTAAAATATATAAATATTGCAGTATTTTCTATATATATGTATAAGTATTTTTTTATTCAGAATAAATAATTATCTACTACAGCCGGACTAGAACTCGTTTCTAGAACATAGCAGCACAGTGCCTGAAATAAAAAAGATAAAAAATGTTTATTTGTTCCTATTCAGTGTTTAAAGAGATTTCGTTCAATAGTTTCAGAAAACAAATATACTTCCATGCATATTTTGTTTTGGTGAAAATATTTCATAACTTTAAAAAAAAAAATCCTTTTTTAAACATTAACATCAAAAAGAAAATCATGGGTAGATATATATGTACATAATGGCCAAGATCCTAAACTATGCGCTCAACAGATCGGTGAGATCTTTTCGCCTGGTATAGAACGATGAGTTCAGCACTGAATTAAGGAAGTTGCCCCGTGTATGGTTAAAATTATAAACCTTTTAAAATTATTATACTTTTACCATCTTACAAGTATTAATATTCTTGTATCATTTTATTCGTCGATGTGACATCGATGATTGCACTATTTTAAGTTAGTTTCATATTCTTGAATAATTTCATTTTTAAAAACTTCAAAAATAAGATTTATATGCATTCTTAAGATTTTTCAAGGAGCATGGGTACAAAGATTTACGATAATTTAAACAAAATATGATACTAGTATCTATTATTGAGGTATGGAAACATTGGCATGGTGCATCGTCACCTCAGTATAGTGTCAGCTGTGTACCGATGTTCTTCATAACAATCATAGTAATTCAAATGTAACTTAAGTCTATTGCTGTTGATAACAACTTAAGGATTTACAAATCTTTAAGAAAGTAACAAGAAAGCTGCTCAGTTATTACAAAATAAGGTACTGACGAATTTTTAAATTGACCATACATCAGTGAATGAAATTATAAAACTAATTGAATGTAAATAAATATTTAACAATCCATCTATGGCCTATTAGAAGATAGAACAAATGCAAATTAAAATATTCTCTAAGAAATCATTGTTTAAACTTTGGACCTTACGTGTCTATGCAAGTTCGAAAATGGTACTTCGCCCTTACATCATAGTCAGCTATGTTTCAATGTATTTCGGTATAATGAAATTTATTTAATATGCGTTATTATTTATTTAATGTTTTATTCGTTTTTAAAAATATTAATTTCAATCCCTAATGAACCACTACATTAAAACTAACTAAAAAAGAAACAAATGTTTCTATGCGTTTTAGAAATGAGGTACTGATAACAATTCCAAAAAAATTATTATTTATTATAACTTATTACTGACAGTTCGATTAACCAATTCTTAATACACATATATACCTGTATAACTTCAAGCATGTACATAACTATTTAACAATTAATTGTCTTTGACGCAGAAGAAAATAATTAAAATTCTTTATTTTTCTAAGCTGAACTACTTAGAACACAAAAGTACCCTACCTTATTTACTTCTGTTAGTAGTTGCTAAAGTTTCAGGTTTGTACCTATGTACATCTTTCTATTTATTTTATTTTTCCTATATATCTTATATGATGTAAGAGTGCATCTACAAATAAATCATCATTTTTAAACTATTTGAGAAAGAAGTAGACAATTTTTTCTGCTGTTTAAATATAAGATATATTTTAAAATTTTGAATAGGTACCTATTAAGTTATTAAATTATTGATATATGTAAGTAGAATCTTAACAGCTGGAGCTAGTAAAACGAAATTGAGAGATTTGCATTGCCTGTCATAAACAGGTCAAAAGTTGTCACACTAATTGGAAGTGAATATTGTTGGAATATCACAAAGCGAAAATTCATCAAATTATTCTCTTTTTCAAATTTAATTTTCTAAAAAGTTACATGACGATTTTTCGGAATAAACGGACATTGATACCTAATTATTTAAATATAATATCATATCTAGAGTTATTAAACTACAGTAAATATATTTAAAGTTAAAAACGTATCCATGAAATATTTTTATATTCCACTTCTTCTTTCACACAAGTATAATGAAATAATATCTAGAACAATGTCATTCCCTTGAATCCGTGGGATTTAAATACTCTTTCAAACTTCAAAAACAATTTAAAAATTTGCATGTAGTAAGAAAATTTCATTTAATTTCCTTGAAAACACTTGATTTACGTTAAATAATGTTAGTTTTTAGAAATTATAATTTATATTTTCGTCACTCTCACTTACCTTCTACAACTTTCTATATTATATATTGTTGTTTTTAATTCTCAGCTTTCCAGCGATATATTATAGGTATACCTTCTGACTGTTATTTCCGAATATTCATGTTCAACCTGGATAAGTATTTTCTTGTTTCTCCTTTATTTAATTATCGAATTCTTCCGAAAGTTAAATTTAGAATTTTTCCATAACTCCTAACAATGATAAATATTTATTATTTATAATTAACCAAATTAAAGGTACTTTAGAGGAAGGCATGATAATGTTGGGACTTCACAAAGGGAAAATTCATCAAATAATTCACTAATTTAATTTTCTAAAAATTCACATGACAATTTTACGGATACCTAAACATTTATAACTAATTATTTAAATATAATATCAGATCTATAATCACTACACTACAGTGAATGTATTTAAGGTTATAAACATATGCTTTATACATCCATGAAATGATTTTATTTTTCACTTCTTCTTTCGCTCAAGTATAATGAAATAGTTTTTTTGACAATGCCATTGCCTTGATTAGATGGAATTTAAAGACTTTTTACAAACTTAAAAATATTTTTTAAAGATTACATTTAGTTCTGTAAATTTCCTTGAAAACATGTGATTCACATTAAATGTTATTAGTTTTCAAAAATTATTATCTATAATTTTTTATTTAGCTTCTACAACTTTCTATATTAGATATTGTTTTTTTCTAAAATTCTCCGCGTACCAACGATATATTATACGTATACCTTCTGACTAGCATTTCCGGAGATTCATTTCCGGTTTAGATTAGCATTTTTATTTTTTTCTCCTGTATTTAATTAATATTCTCTAAAAAGTTATATTTAGCATTTTTTTGTAACTTTAAATAATGGGAGATAGTTGATTATTTGAAATGAACCATATAAAAGTTACTTTAGAGGAAGACATATATGAACATTAGGCGATAAGACCTGAATTATATTAAAGATCACTTAATTGAACAATGATACACCGCGTTTAATCAAAATCGTTAAAGACGATTTTGAGAAAATTGAAAAAAATGTGTTTCAGCGTTGACTCCTGTGTTTCCCGTTAACTCCTGGTTTTCTATCTTGTGTTCTCCCAGTTCGCATATGGCTATCTGGTGTACGGTGGACTCTCGAGAGAATCCGAGGTCAAACTTAAACGCCTAATGAATTGTGCAATATGTTTTGTTTTCGGAATCTCAAGAGATACGCATATAACGCAGTATTACACTAAGTTGAAGAGGCTCTATCCATCCAACCACCGTCTGTACTTCCTTGCCACCTTTCTATACCAAGCCAACAGAACTCAGCGACCTTCCTATATTTTTTACAGCCTACAATTTAAATATTCAGTTCAATCCCGTCCCACTAGATCCCGTACTTCCGACCTCTATCCATCTCCTCACCGAACTGCTGCGTTTGACAAATCTTTTATAATTCAATCCGTCTCCTTCTGGAATACCATCTCTCGCGATATCCAACATGCTCAATCAGTTTCCTCATTTAAATTTCTCCTTTTTATGCACCTACTTCCAACCCAATTGATTACGAAATGTACATAAGAGAACTTTTTAAGTTCCCCAGAAATGATTTTGTTTATTTATGTTATTTTATTTTCCCATGTTTGTTTTATATATACCAGCACGTTCTTAGTGTTTTTTTTCTTTTTCCAATATTTTAATTTTAATGGGATTTGTATATATTTAATTTAATGTATGGCCGCACAGGCATTTTTTCTATATCTACAATTTGTCCTAAAGGGCCAACAATCCAGGATAATAAAAAACATTTTCATTTTATTATATCTCAAAATATCATTTCATTATTTCTCAATTTGACTTAACAACAAGAGACCGCAAGAGTCTCAACGGTCAATCTTGTTCTTGCAGGACACAATTATTGGACATGGTATTGCAACCATTTAAGCGATCTTAACCGCAAGACCAAGTCCGATTTTGGGCAACACTTGACAGTACATTTTATAAAGATTATGTAGTTCATGTTATTTACTCAAAGTTTTATCCAAAAATACTGGATGGGTAAGATAAAGGTGAGAATAAGGTTACTCTTTCTAGTTATAAGATTAACATAAATTTATTTAATCGTGAACCCATTTTTCTTCCACATTAAAATTTAGCATGATTTTATCCAATATATATCGGAATAACATATAAATTTTAAAAAAGTGTAAGTTTTTGCGGCTTTTGAAGTTTTGGAAACAAGTTTCTAATTATGAATATGTCAAGTTAAATAACAAATGAGAGAATATTTCACAGGCTTCAAAATTATATCAAATATAACTAATTAAATCAAATATAATATATCTATTTATAACTATCGGTGGGATCTGAAATAGAGCCAAATCTATCTACTAAATAAATGATAAAAAAAAAAAAGATGGGTGTTGGAAAATTTTGTATAAATATATATTATTTGAGTTTTATATTATGATTTGCCTTGTATTAAATAACACGGCGGCCCCCGGTCTCATCCTGCACTACCCCCTCTCCAAGACGGCCTTATCTACGGCCAAAGACAGATGCTAGCGGACGAAGTGAAGAACCGGATGGCTTACGGCCTACCTGATCAGCAGACCTCAAGAATTACAGCCCTTCGGCTACACCATCTCCAAGACTTTGGACGAACGGCGGATAGAGAGAGAGAAGGCGCGAGACCGGTCCCCTCATCAAACTGTACGTAACCATTTTATTCATTCTCAAGTATTCCTCCACAGAACATTTCTTTTTATATATCACAAGAACAGGGCTCCCGGTCAGGTGGCATGTACCGGGCCCCCAATATTGTGCAATGGGATATGTAGCTGGTAGAGTTAATACAAAAAACAATATTTACATTCCAGAAATTCAGGATAATACCCCTGATGATATAATATGGTAGGACCAGGCATTGAAATTAATTGTTACTCATTATCATTATATCTAGTTAGCATTATCTTTATTTTCACATACAAATAAAAACCTTATTAAACATTAATGAGTTTTAGTTCTTAAACATTTTCTACTAATTCAACAATTTTAGTCCTTTGAATATTAGGCATATTGTATAAAGTCCTCGTAATGAATGCTTATTAATACTTTTGGTTTAATTCGTAAACATTCTTAGATTTCCCAAATATATCCGTTTCAAAACAATTATGATAAGGTTGACTTATAAATATAAATGATAGCTTTATTCATTTTGTTGAATTTAATTCTGGATTGTTTAATTTAATAATAATTCATTCGAGTTTTAAATTTCAAAAGAAGCCAATAATTCGAGTATGAAAATAAGTGCAGGTTTCTTACTCGACTACTTACTGCCATTACTGCACGGATTCGATTTCCGCATGCAGACAGTAGCGATCCCACACAGAGATTCATAGGGAGCTCAGCGACCCCACAGTGTCTTACGCCATAGCTCCAGCCGGGTCCTCCAGATTGGAGGATGGGTATAGGGCTGATGATCTCCTATTCCATAAAAAAATGGGTGGAAGATTGCCAACCATCTTATCAGGAAAGTTCCTGATGAAAAGGAAGTGGATTACGATCGCGTCCGGTTATTAAACCACGCACTCTCTGGATATCTGGAAGAAGAGAGAACCAAACGATCTCTACTGCCTCTTATAACAGCCCCAAGCTGCTGAAGAAGACCCATGACGAAATAGTCGAAGACAGTAGGAGTAAGACAAAAAAAAACCTTGGCTGGTAATGAGGTCGAGGCAACGAAACGACAAAAACTGTTAAAGTCACATGCTGGTTATATAACTAATAAATCACAATCAACATCTGCCAAGTAAGGTCAGTATAGCTTTCTCACCGTTCTCATTGACCAATAAATACCTAAATTACAAGGCATACAAATTTTCTTATGAGGATAAAATCTCTAGGAGTAGCCGTATTTGGAAATTCAGTAATTCCCCAACATATACAGGTTTGATTTCCACGGATTTTGTTCATCAGCGTATACTAAAATGCGGAAGAGCATTTATTCATAAATCTATCAAATTGTGCCCACCTTAAAAGTTCAAAATCCCGTCAAAACGTGCCCCGCTCAAGAATTGTGATGGGCTCCAGGACGTATCAAGGAATATATAAGAGAAAGTAGAGGACGGAATTCAATAAAATTGACAATATATTATTTTTTCCCCAATGCCGACCAGTTCCCTAGCGTTGAGCCAAATTGAACGAGCCGTTTCTGAAATATTGACATAACCAAGAAAATACGTTTGCGCCTGCGGAGTGCTTGGTGGAATTTGATAAAGTTGGTATAGGACCATCTACGCACCAATCTGCACAATCCCTGAAAATTTCATGAAAAACGGATGAACGGTATTAGGTGATATGCCCGTCATATCGATTTGACTACAGACGCGAGAAAAATTTGCTCTTTTTCAACATGTCTGAAACGTAATTGAAGTGGAAATTTTCGATTTTGAGCACAATTTTTTTTTAATCCTTCGCACTAATACTTGGGGAAGCAAAAAGAAAAAGAAGTAAAAGTTCACAATGATTAAGTTTACCCCCCGGCTCACTGCCTTTTTTGGTTTTTGTGTTCATCTTAATAACTAATTATCAAAACATAATTATCACTGCATTAAAGGTGATGTTAAGAATACCTGAAAAGTAAGAAACTCCTTCCATTGTAGACATCACCAAAGATGCGCCGGTTGTCTCGACACCAAGCTCTTTGAGGAGATCTCCGAAAAGCAATCCAAATGATGGTCCAACGGAAATTGTTGAAACCTGCAGAAAATGAAAAGATATCTTAACGATTCGAATTAAACGTCCTATCAATAATGACGGCGAAAATCAAATGATCAAGAAATGTAAATCAAGACGTTAACTAATATGAACATAAATTTTCCTTAAGCAAACATTTTGTGTTTCGCTTTAAATATGTTTTTATTATCCTTTTTCTGGTCTTAATAATGCTTCAAAAAAATCAATAATTCTTATATTATATTATAATAATTATAATTCTTACCCATCGAGTTTTAATAAATGTGATAGGGTAAGTTCTTGAACTCATCGCTGAGTTCAGCCAGTTTAGAGACAGATCCGATGCCATCAATGAGCTTAGAAACTTTCCACTAATTATTGATTTTCAAAATGTTACTCACGTTCATTATACTCGATCCTAAAACAATAAGCCATCCCCACCCGCCATCAGGAGGTACCATCTTCGTGTAGGATTTTCCTGTCATATTTACCTGAAATGGGGATTAAATTATTAATTTAAAAAAAATTTAAAACATAATCATAACTAAGCCAATTTACAGACAATGTATTTGTCGCTGAAGGAGTAGTGTTGTCCACTGGGTGGTCGAACATAATATAATTAACGTTTTATTTGTAAATGCACTTCTCAGGAATTAATGAATTATTCACGTATTTTAATTAGTAAAATATATTTTAATTTTATATGTTATTAGAATATTATATTGAATGGGAGAGATAGAGATAAAACGCCTGAAGTGATATAGATATTTGAAAAGAATGCCTCAAGGAAGACTACCCAAAGAAGTCCACTTATGGAAAACTAGCGAAAGAAGAAGACCAAGGAAGACCTGGAATAACGAAGTGGAGGAATCCATGACGGGTCATGGTCTACGGGAAGAATGGATCTTAGATTGGACATTATGCACGGGCGAAGCTACGGGGGGGAGGAGGTCTTCGGGCTGAAGCCTCCACCTCCCAAAATGGTAAAATATAGTCATGTTTTATCGAAAAAAAATATTTAAAAAGTATCTCTTAAAGTATTATTGTTTGTGTGATTACATTTAAAAGTGCTTTAAGAATCACTTAATCACAATGTATACTGAATGTATTAGGATTAATCTACTTAAAATTACCGTGACCACGTTGCTCGATGTTTTTGATTTTTATGATTTTTTTACTGGTTATTCTTTAATTAATGTTAAGTTGAAAAAATGTTAAGGCTTACCATTTTGCTTCCTCACTACCGCAGGTATTCGAGCATTGTGTATTCGAGAGGTTTAAAAAAAAATTGTGACCAGAATCAAAAATTTCCACTCTCGTTTTCCGTTTCAGACAATAAGAATCAAATTTGATTCGGTGTCTGTATATCTGTCTGTTTTTTGTTTTTTTTGGGGGGGGTCCTCCCCTTCCTCGCCGTTTTAGGCTATACGGGGTTTTCCCGGGCCAGGGAGTGTGGGCGAGAATTTAAAAGACTCCCTTGGCACCGGGACGCGAACTCGTGACTATTTTTATATCATTTGATTGATATATCAGGTTGCCGGGCAACAGCGGTGCTGTGTACACGCGTTAGCCCCTTCGGCCACCCCGCCCACAAATATATCTGTCTGTCTGTAGTCAAGTCTGTAGTGTCTACTATCGTTCATCCAATTTTCAGGAATTGAGTGGGTTGGTGTCTAGATGGTCCCATATCAATTTTATTAAATTCTAACCAACACTTCCGCTTACGCCCGCGCAAACGCATTTTTGTAGATATGCCAATATTTCAGAAATAGCTCGTTCGATTTGGCTCAAAATTGGATACAAGGTAGATATTTGTTAAAAAAATAATGTACGGCCAATTTTATTGAATTCTGTAAGTTGCTTTCTCTTATATATGCGCAAACGTGTTTTTCTTGATACTTCTATATCTCTAAAACAGCAAGTTCGATTTGGCTCAAATTTGGAGGGATGTTAGGGATTGGTTAGCGGATAATTTTATAATAAGTAAGTATCAATTTTATTAAATTCTATCCACTACTCTAAAAAAAAAATAATTCCACATTCAAATCAGGAAATGTGTTATTTGATATGCCTATAGCTTGAAAATGTCTAGCTCATTTCAAATTTTGAGGAAATTGGGAAAGTAGTTCAGAAATTTTTTTTTCCCTTTTTCTCGCCTCTACCCTAAAGGGTCATTGGCGTTTTCTATGATTTATACTCTGTTATAGTAGCTTACAATTTTTAAAAAATTTAACACGATCGAGACTTCATTGTCTTTTAGTATTTCGTTTAGTGTTTTTCCTAGTTCTATTTTTTCTCTGAGCCTTTCGAATTGGGAACATTCTACTAGAAGGTGTTTCACAGTTTGCGGTGTATTGTTACATTTCTCGCAAGTAGAAGCTTCTAGACCTCTTAAAAGATAGCTATGAGTGAACTGGCAGTGCCCAATCCTTAGGCGGCATAGTATAATTTCTTCACGCGTAGACTTTCTGTTGCTAGTGAGCCATTTATCGCAATTGGGTTTCACTTCTTGCAGCTTACACTCTTTGATCCTCCATTCTTTTTCCCACTCTGCCAGTTGTTTTTTCTTTATTTCGTGTACCCAGTCTTCTAAAGTGATATATTTCACTCTAGTCTTCCTCTTCTTCTCCTCCACTTCTTGCTAAATGGGCTGCATTGTCAGCATTTTCATTTCCTAAAATTCCGCAATGAGCTGGTACCCATACCAATACAATTGTTATTCCTTTATTTTTTAGATCCCACCAGATATTGAGTATTTCCCTAATTATGGAGTTTTTAGGATATGGATTGTCAATGGCAGTTAAAACGCTGTATGAATCCGTCACAATTACCCAGTAGTTCTTTTCAGTTTCGCTTATAAAATATAAAGCATTCATGATGGGAGTGGCCTCTCCTGTGAATACTGAACATTCTCCAGGTAATTTAAACAGTAATTGTTTCTCTTTACTCGCTAAAGCACATCCTACGCTACCTCCTTCTTTGGATGCATCCGTATATATAAAATCGAAATTTTTATATTGTTCCGTTAGCTTTAAAAAAGATTTTTGTATTTAAGCGGATATGCCTTTGCAATTTTAGTCATAGATTTATTAATAAATGGTCTATCTTTTTTCCAACGCGGCATTTTTAATTCTGGAATGGGTCTTATAATGGTCGTATCCATGTTTATTTTAGTTGTTGCATTGTAAATTGCTTGTTTAAAAATGTTATTTTCTAAGTTCTTTCTGATTCTTCTGAAAATAAATATGGAGTTAATGGGTGTGGAAGATGCTTTCAATTTGGCAATGTATTTCAGAGATAGGTATTCTCGTCTCAAGTTTAAGGATGTTTCTCCAGATTCAACGTAGATGCTGTCGATTGGAGAAGTTCGAAACACTCCAGTGCATATTCTAGGGCTGAATTGTGTATAGAATCTAACATCCTCAATATTGTTTTGTTGGTTGTACTATATATCTGCGCTCCATAGTCTATTTGCTGCGTATTATAGACTGGTATATTTTTATTAGAGTGCATCTATCGGCACCCCAGCTAGAGTGTGAGAGACATTTAAGAATTCCGAGTCTTTTTGTGCATTCTTCCCTCAAATATGTAATATGTTGTATCCAATTCAGTCTCTTATCAACTATCATTCCTAGATACTTGTGACTTTCTGTATACTCAATTGAGGAACCTTCTATAAATATTTGCGGGTTATTCTGCTGACACTTTCGACTTCTACAAATGTGTAAACATTTAGACTTCGAAGATGATATCTTAAATCCAGTTTCCCTTGTCCAATCTAATACTCGATCCATCACTTCTTGCAGCTTCCACTGTATATAGGGAATAGATTTGCTTTTGGCTGTGATAACAATATCATCGGCAAATAGGAAACATTTGGTCGGGGTCTTGATAATGGATCCTATACTATTAATCGCAAGAAGGAATAGGGTCGAACTAAGAGGAGATCCTTGTGGGGTACCCCTTTGTAAGCGATGGTTTGACGAGAAAGTATTTCCTACCCTTACTGAAAATTCCCTATTGGTTAGAAATTTTTAATATAATACCACATATTTCTTCCTATTCCTACTTCTCCAAATCTTCAACACACGTCTCTTTCCATTGTGTCATAAGCTTTTTCAAGGTCTAGAAATATTGATATGAAGTGTTTTTGTGTGAAAAAGCTTCCTGCGCTTCTAAGCTTAATGATAAAAGAGAATCAATAGTTCAGAAATTGTTTAGTATCAATTCCATTGAATTCCATTTCATAATTAAAATTAATATAAATAATTGTTAACAATATAATGGCTGTAAAATTAAGAGAGCATTAATCATATGAAGTGGGAGTGAGGCAAAGACGATATTTTTATGAGGTTATAAAATTTTAGGTTTTATTCAAAAAGTTAATTTATACCGTATTGTTTGGTCGATTTCAAACGTTACTGGAATGACACTTACTGCCATTACTTAAATTTAGTTTAGTTTTCAATACATTTAAAGTAATTTATAATCTGAGTTTGTAAAAAAAAACAACGTCTTATTTGTAATTGTGTTTATTTCCATTGAAGTTCAACCAGTTCTTCTTGGTCTCGATTTCCTCCTTAGATATCGAATTTATGCGAACTTCACCCATATTTTTATATTTTCTAGCTTAAAGCGTTTTGATTTGACTGAAGGAAAGTATTGATCAACTCTGAACAAACAACAAGTTGAGTTTTTTTTTTTTTTTTTGAGCTTCTTCCCCAAATCTCTCCTCAAAAATTCCTAAGAAAAATAATTTACCTCAATACCTACTGGACCTAATTCATATTAAATTCCGTGCCAGAATATTATGGCAACGTTCAAGACACCTCACCGATCGCCGCTCTTATAATTATTTCAGTAAACGGTTAAAGCAGGAACTGGCCACCTTCAAATCTCAATCCTTTAACTCCTACCTTACTTCCCTCTCTGTTCATGACAATTCTCTATGGAAGATCACCAACAAAATCTTAAAATCCCATCATTTTCCCATCCCCTCCGTCGATGCGATGGCTCCTGGGCAGAGTTTGATGAAGAAGAAGCTGAGGAATTCGCTAGGCACCTCTCCAGAACATTCACCACTCATCCAGAATCCAACCCCACCCATACCACAACAGTAGAAGAATTCCTTACATCACCCATTCCAGTTTCCTGGCCCCCTAAAGCAGTTAATCCTTCTGAGGTCAAACATCACTTACAAAAACTTCCTTTCCGTAAATCTCCTTACCTATCAAATCCTTCGAAAACTTCCTCCTGAAGCTGTTATATTTCTCACCTACTTATATAATACAATCCTAAGAACCACCTACTTTCCTCTTTTGTGGAAACATTCCACTACTATCCTGTTTCCGAAACCAGGCAAACCTCCCAACACCTCGCCGTCCTACAGACCAATTAGCCTACTTCCATTCCTCTCAAAAATCTTTGAAAAGTCCTCCTGAAACGAATTCTACCCTTTATAGAATCCCAAAATCGTCCTTCCCAT